CCTGCACCTTGCACATCAAAGTCCCGGCCGCACCCCAGGAACTTGGTAGGAGGTCCCGGCCTTCCTCTCCCCACCCCAAGGAAAGCACCCAGGAGCCAAGAGGGCTGTAGCGTGAGTTGTAGGGGCCAGCAGCCGTGGCAGCCCACATCGAAGTGCCGGTTCAAGTCCTGGCTGCTCCGCTCCAACCCAGGCTGGGGAGGCTGTGGATGGTGGCTCAAGCACTGCCACCCACATGGGAGACCCTAACGGAGCTGCTGGCCTGCTGCAGCCGTTTGAGGAGTGAACCAGTGCATCGAAGATCTTTCTCTCTCCCTCTCGCTGTTGCTGTGCCTTATATATATATATATATATTTGACAGGCACAGTGGACAGTGAGAGAGAGAGAGACAGAGAGAAAGGTCTTCCTTTGCCGTTGGTTCACCCTCCAATGGCCGCTGCATCGTGCTGATCCGAAGGCAGGAGCCAGGTGCTTCTCCTGGTCTCCCATGGGGTGCAGGGCCCAAGCACTTGGGCCATCCTCCACTGCACTCCCTGGCCACAGCAGAGAGCTGGCCTGGAAGAGGGGCAACCAGGACAGAATCCGGTGCCCGGACCGGGACTAGAACCCGGTGTGCCGGCGCCGCAGGCAGAGGATTAGCCTAGTGAGCCGTGGCGCCGGCCTAAGTATTTTTTTTAAAGGTTTTTAAAATCCTCTCCAGCAGATGGAGACTTTGCCCGTGTCACCGATTCTGGCCCTCCTGCCGCCCACCCTCACTCATCAGAGCCCTTTAATCGCACTGGGCCCATCCGGATAACGATCTTCTCTCTCTGAGGCCCTTGCCTGGTAACCTGACAAGGACACAAGGGCTTATTCCACCTGTCAAATCCTCTTAGCGACTGGAAAGCAAGTTGGCTTCGGCTGTGACAACCCCGGCATCCTGCAGCCAGGGGGCTGGAGCCGAGCTCCTGGAACAGACCCTCTGGGGTCTAACTCAGCCCCACGGCTTACCAGCTCTGACATTTTAGTATGTTACTGGATCTGAACTTTTCTCATTTACCAAGTGGGGACAACAATGGCACCTGGCTTCTGACCACTTGTAAAGCATGTGGTGTGCGGGTCAGCACGCTGTGTCAGCGAAGGCTGCAGACAGAATCAGCCCTGGAAGACGGCAAGGACCTCGACCTTCAGCCCACAGCAGGCTCTGGCTACAAAACAGCACACACTGTGCAGCTTTGGATACAGCCGCCTGCAGGGGGCACCACAGCCAGACGCCCGGTGAGGCTGCCCGACTACCCCCGCTGGGTGCCTCTCTTTGGTTTGCATGGTTACAGCCGCGAAGAGAGAAACCATCTGTTTTTCCTTAATACACCTCCAGTGTCTACAATACGAGTCATCAAGGCTTTGATTCCATTTATGTGACAATTATCCCCAAGATCCCTTTTAAAATGTGAAACTGAAAGAGCTAAACCCATAACAAAAAAAAAAAAAAAAGGAAGTCAAACAGGCTTAGAACGTAAACAGACAAGACTGGAGAACTGGGACTATGACACCATTTTAAGGACGAGGGCCTATGGGTGGGAACGAAGTCAAGGAAACGCTCAGTGAGCGGCCTCTGGATCAGCACAGCTGCGGCTTCAAATCCTGCATCTCCGTCCCTCGCCAGGAGAGCGGAGCCACTCGTGCCGCACGCCAAGCCTTCCACCCCTGACAGCGGCCGGAAAGCCAGCGACCGCGGCCAGCTGTGCTGGCGGGGGCACCTGGGGCATCCAGACTGCACACACAGGAGGCCAAGTTGCTTTTTTTTCCCCCTAAAGATTTATTTATCTGAAAGGCAGAGTTACAGAAAGAGAGAGAGAGAGAGAGAGAGATCTCTTCCATCCGCTGGTTCACTCCCTAATTGGCCACAACGGCCGGAGCTGGGTTGATCTGAAGCCAGGAGCCAGGAGCTTCTTCCAGGTGTCCCACGTGGGTGCAGGAGCCCAAGCACTTGGGCCATCTTCTACTGCTTTCCCAGGCCATAGCAGGGAGCTGGATCAGAAGTGGACAACCGACTCAAACTGGTGCCCATATGGGATGCTGGCACTGCAGGCGGTGGCTTTACCCACTGCACCACAGCGGCGGCCCCTGAAGGCCACGTCTGAGAGCCACGGCAACGCTGGAGTTTCTTGGGCTACCTGGTTCACGCACACAGACTTCCTAGCATTAAAACTACAATATAGTGTATTATGGGTCAATGGAAATAAACCACACAGAAAGCCCACAGCTGGAGTATTTTTATGGAATGTCTCCCATTCCTAAGAAACAGGAGTTGTAGGGGCCAGCAGCCGTGGCTTGTGACACGTGGCCCACATCGGAGTGCCGGTTCAGGTCCTGGCTGCTCCGCTTCGGGCCCCGGCGGGGACGTGGCGGATGGTGGCTCAAGCACTTGAGCCCTGCCACCCACGTTGCAGACCCAAATGGAGCTGCTGGCCTGCTGCGGCCATTTGAGGAGTGAACCAGTGCATCGAAGATCTCCCTCTGTCTCCCTCTCGCTTTGCTATGCCTTTCAAATGAGTAATTAAAAAAAAAAAAAAACAAAAACAAACAAAAAAAAAACATGAGCTATAGGCGAAAGGTCTATTTTACATTCTGGAAACTCATCCCAGAAAACCCAAACAACCTGGAGTTGTTAATGTTACATTTTAATGAGACATTAACTTTTCAAACTAAATTATCTCTTAATCAATACCTACACCCATGATCATCTCACTGCTGATTATACAACCATATGCAAGGCTTTCATTTTCTTGAGAGAATCAAAAATAACAGAACGGAACACTGAGGCCATCCTGCGGAGCCAGAGAGAGGAACAGGCACAGCTCCCATCTGCTGGTTCACTTTCTCCATGCCTGCAACGGCTGGGGCGGGGCCAGGTTGGAAGTGGAAGCCAGGAACTTAATCGGGGTCCCCCATGTGGGTGGCAGGGACCCAGGTACTTGAGCCATCACTGCTGCCTCCAGGGTGCACACGAGCAGGAAGCAGCACCGGGCCTAGGACCCAGGGGCACGGGTGCAGTTTTCCAACCACTGTCTCGACTGCGGATCAAACCTCGGTCCCCAGTTCCCTTCCTCTTGAGGGTGGAGAAGCCTCCATTCTGTGGCCTCATGATGGACACTTGGCCAATGCCCCGTTTACAGCACTGCCACGAACACGGCTGCACACCGGGAGTGGAATCGCTGGATCGCACAGCGACTCCTTTTTCTTTTTTTCTCCCAAAGGAACCATTTTACATTTCCACCAACCCCAACCACGCACAAAGATTCCAATTTCTGTATTTTTTAAAGTTTATTTGAAAGGTAGAGTTACAGAGAGGCGGGAGAGGGAGAGGGAGAGGGGTAGAGAGAGAGAGGTCCTCCCTCTGCTGGTTCACTCCCCAAATGGCCACATCAGTTGAGGCTGGGCCAAGCCAAAGCCAGGAGCCAGGAGCTCCATCCAGGTCTCCCTGGGTGGCAGGGGCCGAGCACGGGGGCCACCCTCTGCTGCCTTCTCAGGCGCATTAGCAGGGAGCAGCCAGGACTGGAACCTGGTGCTCATATGGGATGCGGGTGTCACAAGCGGTGGCTCAACCTGCCGTGCCCAGCGACGCCGGCTCCGGCACAGCTTTGCTGATGCCTACTTTCTCTGTGCTGTGTGAGGGTTTCTAGTAGCCATCCCAGTGGAGGATCCAAAAATACTTTGAGAATTGGAAGTCATTTGTATCCTGGGAAGTTAAAAGTTCCCAAGGGATTTACTGTGCTGAAGTCACTAAACCAACCAGAAAGAACTCCCAGAGAGAGAAAGCCTGCGTACCCACAGGCGGGCAGCCAGAGCCCAGGCGGCGTGGGCGCGCAGAGCCTTCCACTCTGTCTGACAAAGGCTGCTCAAAGGCCGAGGTGAGTACAGTGAGGAGCTCGCACTGGACCGTGCACCCACACGTGAGAGCAGTCGACGACTGAAAACTTCATTTATCTGAAAGGCAGGCAGAGCGATGTGGAAAGAGGGCGGGAGGGAGAGCTCGACCGTCCACCCATCGGTTCTCTCTCCAAATGCCCACAGCAGGAAGCCAGAATCCAGGAACTCCGTCCCAGTATCCCACGTGGATGGCAGGAATCCCAGCACCGCGGCCGTCACCTCCGCTCCCAGAGACACGAGCAGGAAGCTGGTCAGAAGCAGAGGCGGGACTCGGCCCCTGGCACGGGTGCGGGTGTCCCAAGCCCCAGGGAGCAGCTTGCCCAGGCGCATCACAATGCCTGCCCTCCAAGCTAAGGCTTTGCTCAGCTAGAGCTATGTAGATAAACGTCAGAGAGAAGCCAATGCTGTGCGTTGTGGCGTAGCGGGTAAAGCCACCGCCTGCAATGCCAGCATCCCACATGGCTGGCTGGTTCATGTCCCGGCTGCTCCATTCCTATCCAGTGCCCCGCTAATGCACCTGGGAAAAGCAGTTCAAGATGGCACCAGTGGGGCCCTGCACCCACGTGGGAGGGAGACCTGGAAGAATTCCTGGCTCCTGGCTTCGGCCTGGCCCAGCCCTGGCTGTTGCAGCCATTTGGGGAGTCAAATAGCAGATGGAAGACCTCTCTCTCTGTGACTTTGACTTTCAAATAAATAAATAAATCTTAAAAAAAAAAAAATCAGAGGGGCTGGCGCTGTGGCACAGCAGGTAAAGCTGCCACCTGCAGTGCCAGCATCCCATGAGCGCCAGTTCGAGTCCCGGCTGCTCCACTTCTGATCCAGCTCTCTGCTATGGCCTGGGAAAGCAGCAGAAGATGGCTCAAGTCCTCAGGCCCCTGCACCCACGTGGGAGACCCGGAAGAAGCTCCTGGCTTCAGATCAGCTCAGCTCCAGTTGTTGTAGCCATCTGGGGAGAGAACCAGAGGATGGAAGACCTCTCTCTCTCTCTCTGCCTCTCTGTAACTCTGTCGTTCAAATAAATAAATAAATCTTTAAAGACATGCCCCAAAAGAAACTAAAAAAAAAAAAAACCAGAGAATATAACACAAGCATAAAAATTAAACTCTTTATTTCATTGTCATATTTCATTCTTAATGCTGAAAATTCAAAAGACAACCTTAACATTATCCAGTCATCTAGAATCCACTGAGATAAGACATTAAATAGACAAAAAAAAGTAAAAACATGACCTGGAAAAAAAAAAAACAGTTGCATGGAGAACTTAAAATGACAATCCAGCACACAGCCAGGGGTGCGGCCTCACGCTGCTTCTCCCCTTCACACCAATCACAAGGAACCCACCCGCGTGGCGAGACGCTGCGCCCTCCCTGGGTCACACACCCAAGGCACCGGCAGGGGCTGCTCAGCCTTGTTCTGCCGGCGCAGCCTGGAGGCTGGGATGAGCCAGGGAGCACGAGGGACCCAGTTCTCGCCTTCAGTGTAAGCCCCAGTGTGTCAGGAAGCCTTGCAAGGTGGTCCCCATCTGCCTGCCTCCCGGCACTGGGACCCCTGAGTAACCCCCTGCCTTGCAGTGTGGGCTGGAACGAGCGATGTGCATCTGACAGACAGAATACGGGAGCGACAGGCGTCACTCTCGGGCTGAAGGTTAGAGTGGCTTCTGCCTCGCTCTGATGAGGACAGCTGTCGTGCTGAGTGGCCCAGAGGACACCTCCATGTGACAAGGAACAGAGGCCGGTATTCAGCAGCGGCCATAAGCTAAGACTCTTAATACAACGTGGGGAGAAGTGACTCCTGCCAACAGGCTGAGCAGCGAGCCCCAGGAGCCGGCCAACACCCAGGCTGGGCCTGAAGAGGAACCGTGGGCCGAGGGCCCAGCTCAGCCACTCCCAGGTTCCTGACCCGCAGACCCGCGGGCTGAGATGGGTGCTGATGTAAGCGGCTCAGTGTCAGGGGAAATCCGTCACACTGCACGAGACCACGAGAGCACCCGCACAAACACGACAGTGTTCAAGACACCGCGAGCCACTGCGCCAGGTCCCAAATCTCATGTGCTGAATTCTTACAGAGTCAACCAAGCCATCCGAGGGAAACCAACACCCCACAACCCAGCACAGGAGAGCCCGGAACTGCACACCAATGGAGGCTGCGACTCTGACTCCCCAACAAAACCCCAAGACCGCGCTCCCCTGGACTCCGGGCTCGTCACACCTGCGAGCCAACTACACAAGTCCCAGATCATAGCAGATGAAAAAAAAAAACTCAGGCACCACTTGCCCTCTGGGCTGGATTTATCTGCCAGAGCTCCTTGCCTGTGCAGGTAAGCATTACTCTTGGACAGGCCATCCAGAGGAGGACGAGTGGTGCCCGGTGGAGGAGGGGAGTGACTGCTCATAGGCAGGGGTTCTCCCTGGGCCAGGAGAATGTTCTGGAACCAGGCAATGATGATGGTGGGCCAACTTTGTGAATATAACAAAAAACCATCCACTTGAAGAGTGAATTTCAAGGTTTCCAAATTTAATCTCAATTCCGAGCACATTTTAAGCAAGCTCACAGGGAGAGAGTGAAGCATTTAAGCGCCTCCCCAAGCGGTCACGTTCTGTTCCGACACAGGAGGACACAAGCGGACGTGTGGCACGCAAACGACGCGGTCCACCGCCGCAGCTCAGAGCCCGGCACGGGTCGGTCTGGGGATTTCTTTTCTGCTTTGCATCTTCCAGGAGAATTTACTAACAGAAGTTCTCCCCTGGTTAAGTGCTTGATTCTTAAGTGTGTTGTTTGCTCCTTTATAGACATTAGGTTCAGACAATTTTTATCTCATTTATACTTCTTGAGTTGGCCGCCTCCTGCCATGAAGTACCCTGCAAGGGAACTTGTGAACAGTTTTGGAGGAGGAAGACATTCTTTCAAGGGTGGGACTGCATTTTGCATCTGCTGTTTATTTAAACGTCATTCCCGGATACACACGCGCGGTGGCACAGCTGCCTATGGCGTGGTGAGGCGCACTGCACGCCCCACAGGCACCCCCTGGGACACACGGCCCTCCTGGGCTCTGAACGAACAGTGCAGAGGAGACAACATTTACATGATCAAAAGGAACACGGGACAGACGGAGTGAAGAACAACGGTCAGAACAATGGCAACTGGCAGGGCAGGTTCCCCTTGTTCTACTTTAAATAGCTAATATCTGTAAACTGGACGCCAGCTCTGGCAGGTTCAACAGTCGCAATTCCATGATTTTCCCTACCGCACATCATCCAACATCCTGCACACACCACAGGCAGCTTCCTCCGCCAGGCTCCGCATCCGGCTGGATCCGTGAAGACGCTGCCTCCCCTCGCCGGCACCCGGTCAGATGCTCCGGTAGTCAGAGCCCCGGGCCACAATGGCCGCAGCGTCCCATTCCACGGTGAAGAAGGAAATCGTCCCAAAGAACCCAAACGTCACCATGACCAGGAGTTGCCAGTGAAGGAGAAGGTAGTTGCTGTAGAAGAACGCCACGGCTGCGCATATAGACTAGGAGCAGAGAGCACACGTCACAGACGGCACAGGGACCCCCGGGAGCACACGTCACAGGAGGCACACAGGGACCCCCGGGAGCACACGTCACGGAAGGCACAGGGACCCCCGGGAGCACACGTCACAGGAGGCACACAGGGACCCCCGAGAGCACACGTCACAGGAGGCACACAGGGACCCCCGAGAGCACATGTCACAGACGGCACAGGGACCCCCGAGAGCACACGTCACAGGAGGCACACAGGGACCCCCGGGAGCACACGTCACAGGAGGCACACAGGGACCCCCGGGGAGCACATGTCACAGGAGGCACACAGGGACCCCCCTGGAGCACAGGCAGCCGCGGCTGTCAGACCCCAAGCTGTCTGGCCCGAGCGCTTCCCTCCCTCCTGCATCTGTCACCAACTCAGACATGCACCACGGGCCCCCGACAGCGGGGGGGGAAACCAAGTGAGCTACCACCTCTGCTACTGGAAACCGAACTCCGGAAAACCAGAGCAGTGACGGGTGCTACAGAGTGGGAAATGCGCTCGTCTCTGACGCTGAACGGAACCCTGGCGGCCAAGGGAGGCGGGCTCCGCTCTGCGCGGTGCAGACCAGCACGCGAGCTTACTCTACACACGCAAGGAAGAGCGCAGAGGTCACACTGCTCGTGGCTGCTTAACTGCACTCACAAACCCTTTTAAAGGACATCCTGGGCTGCCACTGGAAAACCACAATACCAGCGCCCAAGGAAGGCAAAGCACAAGAAAGCACCTGCCGTCCACCCAGTCCGAGGCGGTTACCTGCACAAACTTGAAGACGGCAAAGGCCGGCGCGCTGTCGTCCGCGTAGAGAAAGCCCAGGATGCTCAGCAGCTGGGTGTTGAAGCAGCTGTCACCCAGCCCTAGCAGGAAACTGCAGAGAATGGCCACTTCCTTGCTGCAGGACGCAGGAGCACAACAGTGACCGCCAGAGACAAAGAGCGCCCACGGAGCGCCCCACCGCCCCGCGCCACGGGAGTATCCCACCATCCAGCGCCCACGGAGCGCCCCACCGCCCCGCGCCCACGGAGCGCCCCACCGCCCCGCGCCCACGGGAGCGCCCCACCGCCCAGCGCCCACGGGAGCGCCCCACCGCCCCGCGCCCACGGGAGCGCCCCACTGCCCCGCGCCCACTGGAGTGCCCCACCGTCCTGCGCCCACGGGGGCGTCTCACTGTCCCGTGCCCACGGGAGCGCCCCACCGCCCAGCCCAGCGTGCACTACAAAGCTCAGCACCAGCGCCCACCAAGAAGGAATGCGCGTGCTAACACACACAACTCTGGCCTAGTAACTCCGTGGGGAGCAAATACTGTTTTGGGGGCTGGGTTCCCGCTGGATTTGGGGATCCAGACACCAGTGTCTGGATCTATAATGAAGCTGAGCGCTCAGTGTAATCAGCCGGTGTCCTCAAAGTTCACAAGGCTCCCCGGAGGACTGAGCGGACAGCCTGGCTGGAGACGCCCCGCGCTCCAGGCCCGACCTTGCGGCACTTCACTGCTCCATAGACGACACCAACCATCACGTCAGACACCGCCACGCTCCTTCATTACAAAAGCGACCTTGGGAAGCTCCCTGGAGTCCTGTTACAGCTCAGCCTGCCCCCACCAGCACTCGACAGGCGGCCTCGGGGAGATACAGGATCCCCTCTCCACCGAGGACAAGCACCAGCCACCCGTCCTCAGGCTCCAGGGAAAGGGCGCTCGGTTACCTGGATCTGATGTAAGCGCTGCTGCTGGTTCCCTCCGCGGGGGCGATGGGGGCATCCGCGGGCATGTTGAGGAATATCAAGTAGAAAGCTACAAAGTGCACCAGGACGCCCAGCAGCACAACGGGGTTTCTGCCAAAACGACTGTTCTTGCTCAGCAGGCCGAAGAGGCTCCCACCTAGGGAGCGAGACGGCGAAAGCGTCAGCCGCGTTACTGGCCCGCGACGTAGCCTCGCTGGCCCAGAGCTGCAGCAAGGCAGACGCGTCCCCAGCGACGTCAACACTCCCGCCCTCGCGGGCGCTGATGACCCAACGCCACCACCGCAGCGAAAGCTGAGCTCCCAAATCACCTGCATCCACCCAGAGACACTCGCGTTACTGCCTCTCTGTGGATCAGTCCACCCCATGGTGTGACAAGGAGCACACAGTCAACAACGGTCCCCACGTTTCGTGGCTGAGCTAAGGCACTGCCCTGAAAGACGATCCCTGTGAAATCTCAGAACACGGGCAAGCACAAAGGGCGACAGGAAAACCCAGGGAGGTTCAACCATCAGGACACTAACACGTCTCAAGAGTGAAAGAGAAGTAACAGCAAGAGCAGAAGAGACGACCTTTCCACCCCAAAGGGACGAGACCAGGGGGCTCTCTCTGCCTTTAACATCCTTGAAGAGTGAGGCAGGCACCTGGTGCAGCCCAGGTCGCCCCTCGGGAAGCCGACGACCCATACGGAGGATCTGGTTCAAGTCCCGGATGCTCGGCTCCTGCTGATGCGCAACCAGGGAGGCGGCAGGTGATGGCTCAAGTACGTGGTTCTAAGCCACACATCTGGGAGCCTGGACTGGGCTCTGGGCCTCTTTCGGCCTGGTTTGGGGAATAAACCAGCAGAAGAAAAATCTGTCTGTCCCTCTCTCTGCCTTTCAAATAAAATGAACTTTTTTTTTTTTTTTTTTTTTTGGACAGATAGACAGTGAGAGAAAGACAGTTAGGTCTTCCTTTTCCGTTGGTTCACCCCCCAAATGGCCGCTACGGCTGGCACACTACGTTGACCCGGAGCCAGGAGCCAGGTGCTTCCTCCTGGTCTCTCATGCGGGTGCAGGGCCCAAGCACTTGGGCCATCCTCCACTGCACTCCCGGGCCACACCAGAGAGCTGGCCTGGAAGAGGAGCAACCGGGACTAGAACCCGGCACCCGACCAGGACTAGAACCCGGGTGCCGGCACCGCAGGTGGAGGATTAGCCTAGTGAGCCCCGGTGCTGGCCAAAGGAATAATTCTTAAAAAAAAAAAAAAAAAAAAAAGTTACTAGCATGTAAGGAAGCAGGAAAACAGGACCGGCAGTGAAAGAATCAGCGAATTCTCCCCTGACCCATCAATCCCATTCAGGGACACGCCCAAGAGGAGGAAACTCCGCGAGGAAACAGTCCCAGCAGACTCAGCCACAGTGGCCCAAAGGCGGAAGCATCTACCGTCTGTCACATGCTGACAGTGTATGTGGTGCCTGGTACAAAGCACACTTCAGATATTGCTACACACAGTGAATGTGGTGCCTGGTACGAAGCACACTTCAGATATTGCTACACAGTGAATGTGGTGCCTGGTACGAAGCACACTTCAGTTATTGCTACACAAAGGGACAGTTTTGCTACATGCTGTAACACAGATGGACCCTGAAAGCATGCTAAGTAAAAGAAGCTGGACACGAGAGGCCACGTTTTACACTGTACATGCGTGTACTGCCATGTGCACATGTATGTGTTGCCTCATGCTGTCCAGTGAAAGAGCCAGACAAGAGCAGCCACCCACTGCTGTGAGTACAGCACTCCCAGGTTTCGGTTTATCTAACACCATTCCCCACGGGAGGAAGCAGGAGCCTCTGGGGAATGGCTGATTCCGGGCTGGGGTCAGGGTAAGCGTGAGATAAACCTGCTGACCAGATAGAAAGAACTGCTCAATAAATGGTGGGGCCACGGACGCCTGCTCGAAGGGTGCCCACTGCTCAAAGCCGGGATGACCGGAGCGCCAAAATAATTAAGTGCAGTACCATGAGCAATCAACCTTTGGGACAAAGAGCGAGTCATGGGTCCAAACAAATAATAAAAATACACAGGGCTGAAAGGCAGAACACCAAGGGCCACCTGTGGATGGCACGCTGGAGGCGGGGCCGCCTTGCTGTGGAAGTCCTGGTGGAGACGGAGCTCAGCGGCTGAGCCGGGGGAGTTCTGCCGGGCAGCAGGGTCTCTGCACGGCTCCAAGCACCTGCCCACAGAACGCTTATTGGTGGCCGGGCGACAGTTAAAACACAGCAACTATACAGCAGCGACATCAGGCAACACCTTGACCTTGACTAAAATTAACATTGCCCATGAGGGACGGATGGGCATTGCATGTCTCCAGACAGGCTGTCCTGCCACAGACACAGTGTCACGTGGGCAGTATCCCTGATGAGAAGCGTAACTTCTGCCTAATCACAGGGAGGATAAAACACACAGCATGAGGAACACACATTTTCAGAGGCAGCAGCCGTATTGAAAACTGTCCGGGCCATAAAAGACAAACTGTGGAAGCATTCTGCATCAGCAGAGACAGGACAACCGATGCAGCATGTGACCAGACTAAACCGGGACCAGCAGAGGGACGACACGGGACACGGATGAGAAATGCTGCAGCTGACACCTGCACTGTGATAACACGAGCGAGCACTCGGCCTGGGAAACACAGGCAGAGTCCCTCCCAGTGCCCTGGAACCAGATGGCACACGCCACCAGGCCCTGGTCGTCCACCGTCTCCTGAGGCTTCAAGCTTCTTTGCCTTGCCTGGATGACTGCAGACCAAGCACTCATGAGAACTCACCCTGCCATCAAGGAAATGGTGTATGGGGTCCTTGCTAATGACCCTCGGGCGGTCCCCTGGTCCTCTATAGATAAAATCTCGAGAACTGGTCTTGTCTGGAAGTTGCTTTTTGGCTCAGGAACCCCAGGTCCTGAAGTAAGGAGCACTGCACACAGCCCCAGGACTGACCAGAGACCACCAGGCCACCATCAGAATGCCCAAAAGCACATGATGGTCTCCTATCACTGACCAATCAAAGGAAGGCCGTAAACACTGCAGACCAACCAGAACTCCACAGGAGCTGAACAAGCACCGCTCAACCCCAACTCAATGCATAAGAGCCCTGACCCTTAACTTCTCAGGGACCCTGGGAATTAAGCCACAGCTGCCATTCTCTCAGCTCTGTGTTTTGTAAAACACAAAGCTACCTTTTTTTTTTTTTTTTTTTTTGACAGGCAGAGTTAGACAGTGAGAGAGAGAGACAGAGAGAAAGGTCTTCCTTCCGTTGGTTCATCCCCCAAATGGCCGCTACAGCCGGCGCACTGCACTGATCTGAAGCCAGAAGCCAGGCGCTTCTCCTGGTCTCCCATGGGGTACAGGGCCCAAGCACTTGGGCCATCCTCCACTGCACTCCCGGGCCACAGCAGAGAGCTGGACTGAAAGAGGAGCAACCGGGACAGAGCCCGGACCGGGACTAGAACCCGGGGTGCCGGTGCCACAGGCGGAGAATTAGCCAAGTGAGCCGCGGCGCCGGCCAAAGCTACTTTCTTTCACCACCGCAATGCCAGCGATTGGCCTGCTGCACACTGGGACAGCAAGCCCAGGCTGGGGCTGGACAGCAGAAATGGGGGTGTTAAATAGCCACGAGATGTGTAATCCTCTCTTGTGCTTCAGAAGATATAAATCAGATGAGGGGACTTCAAAGACTTCCTGAAGGGATGGGCATTTGGCACAGTGGTCAAGAAAGCTGCTTGTTCCTCACTGGGGTGCCTGGGAGTGAGTCCCAGGTCCGCTACCGGTTCCAGCTTTCTGTTGGAGCGCACAATGGGGGGCGGCACGTGACAGCTCATGCAGTTGGGTCCCTGCAGCCAAGCAGAAGACCCAGACTGAGCTCCAGGCTTCAGATGGCTAGCATCAGCTGCGGTGGGCGTTTAGGCAATGAACCAGGCGACGGAAAATCCGTATGTTTGTTTTTGTGTGTCTGTCTGCTTTTCAAATTAACTCATTAAAATTCATGAAAAAAAGTGAAATTTACTGTTTTTTTGTTACAAAACTTTTGAAATCATGTGGTTTCTTAATAATATATTCCATAAACCTTTTTGAGGACTCCTTGTACATGAGAAAGTCAACAAGAGAGAGAACAACTGATAAATGTAAATAAGGGAAAATATTAACAACAGGTGAATATTGGCTTCTTTTTTAAAAGATTTATTTACTTATTTGAAAATCAGGGTTATAGAAAGAGAGGAGAGGCAGAGAGAAAGAGAGAGAGAGAGAGAGAGAGAGAGAGAGGTCTTCCATCCTCTGGTTCACTCCCCAATTGGCCACAACGGCCTGAGCTGTGCCAATCCGAAGCCAGGAGCCAGGAGCTCCTTCCAGGTCTCCCACGTGGGTGCAGGAGCCCAAGCACTTGGGCCATTTTCCACTGCTTTCTCAGGCCATGGTAGAGAGCTGGATCGGAAGTGGAGCAGCCAGGACTCGAACCAGTGCCCATATGGGATACCGACACTGCAGGTGGTGGCTTTATCCATTATGCCACAGTGCCAGCCCCATGAATATTGTTAAAGAATATTCAGGCATTCTTGCTTTTTATCTTTGCAATTTTTTGTAAATTTGCAAACAAAACAAAACAAAAAAACACTCAGCAGGCTGCCTATTTGGTAAGAGCGTGTTTCTTGGGCCCAGCGCGGTGTCTCAGCAGGTTAAGACTCCAGCCTGCAGTGCCAGCATCCCATATGTGTGCCAGTTTGAGTCTCAACTGCTTTACTTCTGATCTGGCTCCGGTAATGCACCTGGGAAGGCAGCAGAGGATGGCCCAAGAGCTTGGGCTGCTACATGCATGTGAGAGACCTGGAGGAAGCGTCTGGCTCCTGGCTTCAACCTGGCCCAGGCCTGGTTGTTGTGGCCATTTGGGGAATGAACCAGTGGATGGAAGCTCGCTCTGTCTCTCATTCTCTCTCTGTGTAACTCTGATGTTCAAAATAAATAAATCTTTAAAAACAATTACATGCATATATAGATAACAAAGTGCACTTCTTCACGGCTGGGCTTCTGGCAGAGACTCCGTGCCGTGCACCAGACTCTCCCTGCACGATGTCACCTCGGCCAAGGCTCCACCCACCCCTTACACACTGGTGACTCCCAGGGCAACCTCTACCCACGTGTCCCTCCCGAGCACCCGTCTGTACCCCACCCGCTTACCCTGACGCGTCTCCACCTGGCCCCTCCCTGGTGTTTCAACACACCCAGAACCCCTTTCAGGAGGCTGCCTCAGACCCGTCTCCTACAGCAGCTCCTTCATCCACCTGGTTCAGTCCGACTCCTCACCAACCAGGTAGCAAGTCCTGCGGAGCCCACATTCTGATTACTCACTCCTGTCACTCACTGAACCCTGACAGACAGACACCTGGGCCTGTCTCAGGGCTGGCACCAAAGCAGGCAGCGACAACACCCAGGCCGCTGTCCCCCTAGTGTTTACCATTGTCTGAAATTCCAGCTTTCCTGAATTTTTACTGTATTTTTCCCAAGAATATAAACTCTACGCGGGCAGGTCTTTTTGTCTGTTTTGCTGACACAAGGAATTCTCAGGTACCTGGTGCACCGGTCAGTTCCTGATGTCTGACGGAGCCTGCCATGTGCTGCAAGGGCGGGGCAGGCCTCTGTCCTGAGGGACAACCAGTGCAGTGGGACACCAATACGTGTGTCAGGGCTTTGCCCGCAGCTCCTGGCAGAGACCCCAGACCCTTGGGATTTACCTGATCACAAGAGTATCTTTCCAACCACGCCTGAGTTTATGCTAAGGAGGTGACCACGGGGAGGGAGGGAACGGCTTCGGAATGGAAGCTCCTTGGAAGGCACCAAGCCCAACAGACGACTGGACTTTTGTCCCTCCTCGCGTGGAAGGGGGAGGAGCTAGAGGTTGAGCCCCTTGTCTAACAGCCAATGATGTCACCATTCGTGTCTACAGATTGAAACCACCATGACTGCTCAGCAGGCCAGGGAGCCTCCAGGGCTCCCCACACTGGGAGGGGCGCACCCCATGCCAGAGACTCCTGCACTGGGACCCTTCACACCCTGTCCTGTGCTGTCCTGTGCATCTTCACCCAGGACCTGACTGCAGTCTGCAGGGGGCCGTCTGGGGCTGGGCCTTTAGGCCGGGGAGAGTGAAGAGTGGGGGGGGTCACTGCTTTCACCAAGCTCCTGCACAAGCTCCCAACAGACCAGACTAAGAATCACAACGGAGTCACCCGTGCCAGAGCTCCAGTCACCCAACGGAAACTAAGCTGTCCTGTGGCCTTCTGAGAGGTGAGAGAGCAGTGAAGAACCTCAGAGGCCAATTCCAGCCTGCACGACAGTGCCGTTCCCCTGACATCTCTTCAGTCACTAAAGTAACCCGACCCGACCCGACGGTACCAAGCAGCTGTTTTCTGCGGTCTGTCTCCACCTCCCCACCTGACAAGGGAAGTAACTCTGAACTGACCTTTCTCCCGCCGTTAGCCCTGCTGCCTATAAAGCCAGCCCGCTCTGCTCAGCTCATCAGAACACCTATCACAGAACCAAGCACTGCCAGACGAGACACAGCAGAAGCCGGCTGCGGGCTGTCGGTCGTGGTTTTGTCCTGATGCCAACTCCACACTCAGTGCGAGAGAGTCAAGGGACAAGGACTCGGGGATCCCTCTGAGTGCTTTAGGAGGAAAAGCAGGAAGATCCCACGTTCCCCTAGCTGTGGCTTCCATCTGGGTATCTCGCAAGTGTTTTATAGTTTCGTTTTTTAGAATAGTGATAATAGAAAAGCAAAACACCTGTTTGGGTAAAAGCAAGTAGGGAAAACAGAAATTCAAGACACTTAAAGTTTCCATTTTAACTACAACAATCCAATCTACAACGCAGACATGTTTGTAAACCCACCTAAAATTTCTCCAATGCCGATAAAAATGCCAGAAAGTCCAATGAGGCTTTTCTCTTCTGTTCCAAATTTATTTACAGCTCCGATACAGGTCCCATACACGCCAGAGAAGAAAGTCAGCTCCAGACCTGGGGAGAGAACCAGAGCTTCCTGGAACACCCGCATTCTCCTTTCCCTGGATTCCCTCCCGCCTAGCAGTATCTGAGCGTCTACACATGAGACAAACTCATTCACACTCGCAGCGCGCTCCCAAGTATGGCACACTTTTTACTGAGGGGACTTGAAAGAGGTCATGAGAAGACAGATAATCTACATTTCCCAAGAACCTGAAGATCCTGTGTAACTGAGGAAATGGAATTAATCTACCCCCAATGCGTATGAAGCTCCAAACCCCCAAACACAGCGGTATCTGAAGGTACAGATGGTGGGTGGTCATCAGGCCCAAGAGGGGAGCCCCGCAATGGTACCAGGGCGCTTACAGGAAGACACCAGGGAGCTTCCGGGCTCACCATCTCCCAGGCGAGGACAGGGAGGGAAGATGGGAAGAGAACCTGCAGCACGGCCACGCGGCCACCCCGATTTCCAGTCCCAGCCTCCAGCTGTGAGAGACCAGCCACTCCATGTGCGGCAACAGCCACAGCAGCTCCAACTGAGAACCGCAGGGTGGCAGCTGCCACACAGAGGGGACTTCCAGGAGTCTAGGAGGCCAGCGTCTGGCGCAGAGGCCGAGATGCTGCCCGGGACACCTGCGTCCCACATCGGAGAGCCAGCGTCCGAGTCCCTGCTTCACTCCCGATTTCAGTTTCTTGCTAACCCACACTCCGGGAGGCAGCTCCTGACAGCCCATGCACTTGGGTCCCTGCCACCCACGTGGGAGACCAGGACTGAGTTCCTGGCTCCTGGCGTGGCCTGGCCCAGCCCTGGTTGTTGCAGACACCTGGAGAGTGAACCAGCAGATGGGAGACCTGTCACTCTTTTTCTTTCAAATAAATAACTTAAAAAATTTTTTTAATACCAAAAGAAACTTATCCTCTAATTCCATTTCCCACGAACGTCTCATTTTTAAATTTTCACTTATTTATCCCCTGTAACGGCCTTGGCTGGAACCAAAGCTGGGAGCCGGGAACTCAACCCAGGTCTCCCATGCATGGGGGCAGAAACACAGTCTTTTTGGCCATCACTGCTGCCCCCCAGGGCCTGTGATACCAGGAAGCTGGAACAGAAGCCAGCGACAAGTGTCCAGCTCCGGCAGCCTGATGTCGTACGCAGGTGTTTGACCTACTAAGCCAAATACCCACCCTGCCACAAACTTTTTAAAGGATTTTATATTTATATTTTTATTTACTTGGAAATACAAAAAAAAAATCTGAAATCCATACATACAACCATTTCAGATAAAAATACATAACTCTTGGCCAGCGCCGCGGCTCACTAGGCTAATCCTCTGCCTGTAGCGCCGGCGGCACACCAGGTTCTAGTCCCTGTCGGGGCGCCAGATTCTGTCCCGGTTGCCCCTCTTCCAGGCCAGCTCTCTGCTGTGGCCCGGGAGTGCAGTGGAGGATGGCCCAAGTGCTTGGGCCCTGCACCCCATGGGAGACCAGGAGAAGCACCTGGCTCCCGCCATCGGATCAGTGCGGTGCGCCAGCCGCGGCGGCCATTGGAGGGTGAACCAATGACAAAGGAAGACCTTTCTCTCTGTCTCTCTCTCTCACTGTCCACTCTGCCTGTCAAAAAAAAAAAACAAAAAAAAACAAAAAAAACAACTCCAACAAACAGCCTTCCTTCTGTTCAAACCTGTCACTCTGCACGCAGACAGAGGATGCAATTACCATGAATTTGCAAGAGTGCACGCTAACGTGCTCATTATCGTTATGAATAGCTCTCCAGCGGAACTGGCATTCTTACTCCTACTGGAAAAACAACACTCTCCACTGCTGCTTAAAGGCACAACGCTTTCATTGAATCCTTTTTCCTAGGAAAAGGAAACGCCCAAGATTTCAGTGAAATAATTAGGGTACAGCAGTAGAGGGCCTCTATCCCTTTACGCTGTCAAACCTTAACTGTGGGTTTCAGACGCTCAACAGTTACTCTTTCTCCTACAGAAGCCGTGCACCTGAGAGGCACACACACAACGGCAGTCGGCCGCCGGCACACGACAGCACCACGGGGAGGAAACGGGGCCTCCCATTCCTAGACCCAAGAGCTGTCCCTGCTGCCAGATTACTACCTGCGGTCTATTTCACTATAAACTACCTCAGTCCTCATGGTTACAGGGATGAATTCAGTCTCGTCCTAAAACCTCTGGGCCCAGTGAGCCCTGTGCCCTGGTCTCCCCGTCGCGGCCAGGACCCTTGCTCGCTGCGTTGGAGCCAGCTTGTGCTCTGCTGTCACCAGACTGCAGGGGAGATGACGCTGGGCCAGATCCAGGCCCAACCTCTAAAGTCTGGTGCGAGTCCCTGTCGCTCCTTTTTGGAGCCTTTGGCCACTATCCTGAGGCCAGATCTCTCAGAGGGGTCACGAAGGTGAGCAGAGGTCCTGAGACTACACGGACAGCAAAAGTCAGAGAGAGAGAGAGAGCAAGCCCTAGCCTTGCACGTGACCCCGACAAGGAGCCAGACAAGCGACTGAAGCCATCTCGGAAGCTCCAGACCCAGAGACCTTCTTTTAAAGATTTTATTTATTTGAAAGGCACAGTTACAGACAGAGACAAAGAGATCGTCCATCTGCTCATTCACCCTCCAAACGGCCACCACGGCTGGGGCTGGGCCAGGCGGGAACTATGATCTTGGAACTCTATCTCTGTCTCCCACGTGGGTGGCAGGGACCCAGGCACTTGGGCATCCTCTGCTGCTTCCCCAGGCGCATCAGCAGGGAGCTGGATTGGAAGTGGAGCAGCTGGGGCTCGAACCTGCACTCACAGGAGATGCTCACGTTGCAGGCAGCAGCTTAAACTGCTGCCCCACAACCTCCTGACAATATGCCACAAGACCCCAAGTGACCGCATCAGAAAGCCATGCAGAGGCCAGCGCCGTGGCGCAGTAGGTTAATCCTCTGCCTGTGGTGCGGCATCCCATATGGGCGCCGGGTTCTGGTCCCGGCTGCTCCTCTTCCAATCCGGCTCTCTGCTGTGGCCTGGGAAAGCAGTAGAAGATGGCCCAACTGCTTGGACCCCTGCACCTACATGGGAGACCCAGAGGAGGCTCCTGGCTCCTGGCTTCGGATTGGCATTGCGACCATTTGGGAAGTAAACCAATGGAAAGAAGACCTTTCTCTCTGTCTTTCTCACTGTCTGTAATTCTACCTCTCAAATAAAAAAAAAAAAAAATTAAAAAAAAAAAAAAAAAAGAAAGCCATGCAGCTGAGTTCCGTCAAGGCACAGAAATATGCAGAATAACCACACAGCTACTGCGTTCAGTCTTACTGTCATTACAAAGCAGCAGGAAACCAAGACGCAGTTCCATTACCTGTGTACGCGGTTGTAATACTCAGAAGGAGCATCTCCTTGGTGACACATAACTTAAGAGACTTTCCTAAAAAAAAAAGAAAGAAAAAGAAAAAAAAGTACTTAGCATATTTAAATTAACTCAACCAAAATTCTAAAACATTTCTTTAACCAAAACATCCCTTTATCAATAATGCCAGTCAACAAGTCCTTTGGGACAGAGGGTAAACGTTTCATATTAAAATGCTTAAGATGGGAACTCCATCTGCTCCGTAAACAAAAATGTTGATTCTAAGGGTTTAAATGTATTGTAGAACTGCATTTTGTTCAACACATTTTCCAAATCTTTAAACAAACAAACAAAACCGAGAGAGAGAGAGAGAGAGAGAGCGCGCGAGCGAGCGGAAACGCGTCAATGGGCATGACTGAAGGTTGGGCTGGGCCGTCCCGTCCCATGCTGGTTGGTCAAGCGCTGACTTCCCTAAGGAGCTGGCTGGCCCGCAGCAGCTCTGGGACTGGACTCAAGGTCAGGATCCCCAGGGGAGCTTTCTGGCCACACAGAAGCTGGGGCCCCTCCCCCCCAGGCCCAGATGCTGCCCGGGGCCTGAAACCTGAGTTCTGCAGATTTGTTTCTAACCATTTCCACGTCTGTTTTCACACTGATCAACTTAGCATAACTTTGCAACGGAAAATGGATTTCTCAAAACTCGACATTTTAACCAAGTTGTCTGAACTGTTTGAACCTGCTCATGTTTCGCAACTTAAGGATCACTAATCTCCTAAGTAGACTGCACTGATAGTGGGTCGAGATTCTGGCTGGCATTCAACTGCTGACCACGAAGCTTACCTAAGTCAAAGCACTGTCCTGACCGTGTGCAGGAGGGCATTTCCCTCCAGTTTCATCTACATATAGGGAGAATAAACGCAGTAAGATATCTTCAAGTATTTCCAGGAAATAACACATCACTAACACAAAGTTTAAAGTAACACTTTTAATTTTAAAAAATACATTGGTAAAGCACATTCATTTTAAAATAATCCTGATTTTTCCTACAAGAAGAAATTCTAAACATAATCTAGATAAAGGTAGATACACGTCATCATATATTTGCCCAAACCCACAAAACGCACATGCAAGACCAAGAGTGAATCCTACCATCACCCACCACTGACTGGGGTGACAATGATGAGGCAGTCTGGTCCTCTGATCACAACTGTACTGCTGTGGTGGGGGCGCCCGCCATGTGAGGGGAGCGGGACACGGGAACTCTCTGCATTCTGCTGATTTTGCTATGAACCTAAACTGCTCAAAAAATATTTTAAATAATCTTTATTAGAAACTGACAAGTTGTTCACAACGCTCAAGGGTGTTAGAAGTCAAGACAGCTGTGGTTTTCAGAGGTGAGGCTGTAGGGGGAGTGACTGGCTCAGGCTTCCTCTTGCCCCACGCGGTATGTGTGTCGTCGCAGGTCTGCCAGCAAGCACACCATCTCAGCAGGCCACACCAGGAAGGCCTGCCTGATCCTGGACTGCAAACCTGCAGAACCAGGACCCAAAAGAAACCTTTTCTCTATAAAAAGCTAGCTGCCTTGGTAGTCACAGGAACACTAATAAACCTCATTTCTATATAAATACACACACGCATATACAGGTAGGTAGAAATCTTGACGTTTAGGGTCAATTAAATCAGTTGGCAAGGGCAACAACTTAGATCAACTGGGAAGGAAGGGGCTTTCAGAAACGATGCCCGGACAACCAAATATCCAGGCGCAGAGGAACGAGGTCGGGCTCTGACGCCTCTCACCACACTCAGGAATGAACCAGTGACTCACCAACCTAAATCTAATTAACATTCTAGAACTCGTAGAGGAAATCTAGGAATAGATTTTTTGTGACCCAGGGTTAGACAAAGTCTTCTCAGGATAATAAAATGAGAAAAAGAAAGCGGACTTTAGTAAAATTAAAAGCTGTCACCAAACCCAGTGAGGTTATCCCCTCAGGATGACTATCATCAAAAGACAAAAGACAAACGAGTGTCAGCAAGCACTTGGAGCAAAGGGAATCCTGTGTACCGCTGAACGCACACTGGGCGAGCCATCACAGCAGCTCCAGCAAAAGCGGAAATCACCACAGACCCAGCAAGCCCACTCTGGGAAAATGGCGTGTCTCCAAGAGGCATGTGTCCTCCTCTGGTCACTGTGGCACGACTCCCAATGGCTAAAATAAACAGCTCAGTGCCTGTGATGGATCAGGGAGAACAGAGAAACGCGGCATCCACTAGGCTGCATATGCCCATACACGCAGTGGAGTATTATCTAGCTCGTAAAAAGGAAGTCCTGCCTCTCGCAACATGGACGAACCTGCAGGACCTCATGCCAAGTGAGTAAACCAGACACAGAAAGACAAATCGGTCCGAGCTGCTGGACTCAGGCTGCCGGGGCCTCAGGGAAGAAGGACGCGTGCAGATGCTGGCCAAGGAGCTCAAAGCCTCAGGCAGGATTAACTAATTCCGGAGCTCCAAAGTAGAGTTGTCAGGTAGGAAGTCAGAAATTGAGCCCGTGTGCGTGTGGGACAGGCCTGAAGCCCAGCACCAGCTGCACAAACTCCAGAAGCCCAGCATCTCGCACTTCAAAGTCCTGCTCAGACCCGGATGTCCTCCCAGGTGGTCCCAGCCCTTCCCCCAGGAAGCTCCCAGGAGAATTCTCTCTCCTCAGGACCAAATGGGTTACCTGACCTGATCACATGAATAAAAACTTCCCCAGGGAAGCCCCTCTACTCTGCCCAGCACCAGCAAATCTGGGGAGGAATTGGCTAATTTTCACCCAACAAACCCTTCCACTAGGATTCCCACCCCTTTGTTCTAGAGGAGAGGGGAAGTGGGTAAACAGACTCCCTTAAAAACCTAGGGAGTCCATGGCCAGCACCGCGGCTCACTAGGCTAATCCTCCGCCTAGCGGCACCGGCACACCGGATTCAAGTCCCGGTCGGGGCGCCGGATTCTGTCCCAGTTGCCCCTCTTCCAGGCCAGCTCTCTGCTGTGGCCAGGGAGTGCAGTGGAGGATGGCCCAGGTGCTTGGGCCCTGCACCCCATGGGAGACCAGGATAAGTACCTGGCTCCTGCCAGGTCAGTGCGGTGCGCCAGCCGCAGCGCACCGGCCGTGATGGCCATTGGAGGGTGAACCAACGGCAAAGGAAGACCTTTCTTCCTGTCTCTGTCTCTCACTGTCCACTCTGCCTGTCAAAAAAAAAAAAAAAGAAAACAGAAACACCCTGCAGCATGCATGAGCCTTTAAAACAGCATGCTAAGAAGCCAGTCACAAAGTTCACGCGTTCTATGATCCCATTTATACGACAAGCCCAGAACAGGCAAATCTGGAAGAAAGTAGATTCTCGGTGGTGCAGGGGCAGCACTGGGGTAGGGAGAGGGCGGGCACGAGAAACGACCGCTCACGGGCTCAGGCATTCTCTCCGGAGTGATGAGAACTGCACCTCAACAAAGCTGTTCTACTGAAAAAAATTCTAGCATTTTCATGAATCGCTTCCCAGACGTTTTCTATGCTTTTTGTTCTTAGAAAAACGAATTCCGCGATTTCATAATTGGTTTTCACGTGAAGGGAAAATATTTTTAAACATTCATGGAAATCATTTTAACAGTCTAGGTAACCTATTGTATAGATGTAGTAATACCTCAGAGTTCAATCTTTATATTATTGCCAGTTTCTTGCTAAAATAAACGTATCAGTAGTTAAATCTTGATGAAAATTCCTAAGTATTTTTTAATGATTTATTGATTTATTTGAAAAGCAGAGTTACAGAGAGAAAGAGGGAGAGATAAACAAAGAGATCTTCCATCCGCTGGTTCATTCCCCAAATGGCCGCAATGGCCAAGGCTGGGCCAGGCCAAAGCCAGGGGCCCAGCACTTTCTCGGATCTCCCAAGTGGGTGGCAGGGGCTCAAGCACTGGGGCCATCTGCTGTTCTTCCAGGAGCTGATGAGAAGTGGAGCAGCAGGAACTCTCACTGGGATGCCAGTGTCACAGGTGACAGCTTAACCTGCTATGTCACAATGCTGCCTCCAGTATCTCCTTTTTGAAAGGGACAAAGACAAAGACAGCTCATCTGCTCATTCACTCCCCTAATGTTCAGAAGTGCCAGAGCTGGGCCAGGCTCGAGTCAGGAGTCCAGAACTCACTGTCGGTCCCCACATGGCGACAGGGCCCACGCACTCAAGCCATCAGCACTGGGACTGGAAGTGGTGCCAGGATCAAATCAGGCTCTCCTGTGTGGGCCGCGGATGTCTCAGCTGCTGCTTAACCACTGGACCCGATGCCCATGCCCCTCTCCAAAGTATTCCTAGTGGGAATTATTTATTCCATGAAGCTGAAGTTTATAGTTTCTGATACTTCAAAGTGACAAATCAGGGGCTGGTGTTGTGGCACCGTGGGTAAAGCAACCACCTGCAATGCGGTAAATCATGAAGTCTACCTTACAGCATTTTATCCACCCGACCACTGGTTCATGTCCCGGCTGCTCCATCCCCAATCCAGCTTCCTGCTGTTCCCAGGCCATTGGCAGGGAGCTGGATAGGAAGCAGAACAGCCGGACCATGAGCCAGCACCCACACAGGATACTAGTGTCGGTAGGCAGTGGCTTCACCCACTATGCCACAATGCGGACCACCACTTCTGATCTACTCCCTGCTAACGAGCCTGGGAAAGCAGCAGAAGACACCCCAAGCGCGTGGGCCCCTGCCGCCTGTAGGAGACCTGTATGGAGTTCCAGGCTTCTGGGTTCAGCCTGGCCCAGCTCTGGCCATTTAGGGAGTGAACCATCAGATAGAAGACCTCTTTCTCTCTCTCTTTTTTAAAGATCTATTTATTTATTTCAAAGTCAGAGTTACACAGAGAGAAGCAGAGGCAGAGAGAGAGACAGAGAAGGCAGCAGGAACCGTCCCCGAAGTCTGCCCTGATGCTCCTGGCTGCTGCCCTCTTTCTCCCAGACATGTCAGCTGGGTGGCCACAGCACCCGGCTCACCCCCAACAGACAGACATTCATGGCAAAGCCTGACGCACTGCGGAGCTCCGCCCCTGGGGACAGGAACATGCCAGGGCGGCGTCAGTCCAAAGCTCCGAGGGGAGGGGGGAGGCAGAGGCCGACACTTCTGAACAGCTCGCGCATTTGGGTCAGAGAATACTTACTAAACGCATCTACCGCCTTGGTCATAGTGTTCTGGGCGGACCTGAGAAATAAAATAAAATAAAAGTTTTTTTCCCTTGAAAATCAAGAGGAGAAATATTCGAATACACTGTCCTATTCTCACTGCACATATTCACCAACGTGTTTTTCAGAAACGATACTCAGGCAGGACAGAGACAGCCTTGACCCTGCTGTTTTCTAAGTGTAAAACCACCTGGGAGCGCTGCATCCCCACCAACCCTTCTGAGTCCCTCAGCGGGAAACGTTCCGGAACAGGCACGTCCCCTCGTGCGACAGGGCTGCGACCTACAATGATGCTCTGGTTAAAGACCTGGGCTCTGGGTCAGAGTCCTGGCTTTACCACTCCTAAGTCATGTGTGTCCAGGCAAGTGATTTCATTTCTCACTGACTTATGGGATTAAATGAGATGATGCAATTCAAGTCTAACAGTTAATGAGATTATGGTGAGCAAGTTTTAAAAAGATTACATTTCTTGCCCTGCCAGCCTAGTCTACTTGTCTTCTATCTTTAAATGACATTGTTCACTTCCCCCCAATAAAGGAAGCTAATGGAAAGCCAGATGACTTAAGGAAAAAATTACTGATATTTAAAGTACAGGGGCGGTGTCCTTTATGGGCACTGATTTGAGTCCCAGCTGCTTTACTTCTGATCCCGCTCTCTGCTATGGCCTGGGATAGCAGTGGAAGATGGCCCGAGTCCTTGGGCCCCTGCACCCACGTGGGAGACCTGGAAGAAGCTCCTGGCTCCCAGCTTTGAATCAGCCCAGCTCCTGTCACTGCGGCCATTTGGGGAGTGAACCAGCAGATGGAAGACCTCTCTCTCTGCATATGCGTAGCTCTGCCTTTCCAATAAATAAATAAGAAGACAGTGTATTCTAATCGTCAGGAAAACCTTCTCATGGGAACACTCAGGTCTCCCTGGAGGCACTTCCTGTTCGGACTTGGTCATCAGCACTGCCCTCACCTTGTGCTCCAAGGGGATCTACTGTGGGATTCCAGGATTCTACACGTCAGGCCTCAAACCAGTAGGAACTGGTTCAGGCCATTACAACACAATCAATTCAATTCAGTGAGCTTTCAAAAGAAGGTATTTTTAGTATCAGGATCCTAAAGCAAGGTAATAGCTAGGTGCCCCAGGTGGGTCAAAGTCTAGCATTACTTCAAGCCCTCCTATCACTCCCCAATAGCTCCAGGTAGAAAGCAGCCCTGCTCCACCTTTCAGAGCCGACCTGCAGTCCTGCCTCCGGTCTCCCTGCAACCCCATCAGCAACTGCAAACCACACCTCCCACCCTCACCCACACCCCTGTGCCCCGCACTGCTTTCTCTTTCCTCCATTCACATTTCCCTGCAGCGAAGGAGCACACGGCTCCTTCCTGGACTTGGAATGCATGATTGCACAGGTGAGTTCCATCACAATGAAGCTGTGGACAGATCCCTGTTTCTCTTCTCTCCCACTGGAAAGCAAAACCCAAGGCTCCTACTAAGGAGTCAGCGAGTCCTGCTCAATGCAGTACCCTCCAAACAGCGCTAAGACATCAGAGACACTCAAATGCCCCCCCAGCTCCTAGACCCTCAGAGATGCAAATGAAGCACTCGAGACAGGGCTGCCATTTGCCGTGTTCAAATGGTCTGCATAGGGCCTGGGAAGGGATCCTTGAAATCGCATCCTTATACCCTCAGCAGCTTCTAATCAAACCAAAAGTAAAACCAACAAAACACAAGCTATCCTTGCATAATTTAGTCCTGCCCACTTCGCCCCTTGCCAGGCCCGGCCTTGGCAATGGCCACCCGTTGATCTCCCTCCCTCACTGGCAGGTCTCTGCTCCCAGCACCTCCCCTCTTGCGCTGTCTTCACTCACATGGATACTGTTTTACCCGTGTACAGGCTGCCATCCTCTCTAAAATGAAGTCCTATACAAACAGGGGCCCATTAGTCCTGTGCCCGGCTTTATCCAGCAGGTTGAGGGAGGGCTGGTGCACGCTGGGTACCGCGTATGAACAGACACAGAGGCAATTCAGGAAGAGAGAATGCTAAAAAAGCTAAGCAGTGTTTATCAGAGCTGCCCGTGTCAGTTATGTAACAGCCCCGCCCAGCCCCGGCCTGCTCCTCCACGCAGCAGTCACACGGGCTCCACTGATCTTCCTGGCCAACATGTACCACTTGCAGGATGCATGAGTGCTTAATTTTTGTTAGATTTTTGGCATTTATCTTTATAAACAGCTTCTCCGGGATTTACCTGGTGTGTGCTTGAATATACACACATGTATATACTTATCCATCCAAACCAAAGTACCACATCCCTCTTGCTTTAAACAAACGTAGTACAAATTCCAAACATCTAACAGTCCTACGACTAGAGAATGACAGGTCCTTTTTGGATTAAAAGGGTAGCACAGAACGCTCTACACAGAAGGTTTAAAGATAAAATGCTGTAAGGTAGACTTCATGATTTACCAGTTCCTAAACAGAGCGAAAGAAAGCTGGGTCAGGACTCACTCCTCTTTACTCACATCAGACACGGCAGAGAAATCCCCTGTCACCCGTACTCAGTGTCACTCGTCACTGCCATGTGCCCAGAGAACACGGGGCCATCCCCTTAGACCCACTGCTCTCTCTGAACTACTTTGGGGAAACCGCCTCTGCCTCAGTGCGACAGCCAGGCGCTGCGAGCCAGGGCCTGGTGTCACCAAGGCTCCTCCATGACAACTGCCGGTGGCCCTGCCACTCACCCGTCCCACAGGAATTAGAAAGCTTCAGCGCTCGGTCAGACACAGGACCAGGGCAGACTGCTTCCTACCTCACTCTGGGAGCCCACAGCCTCGCACAGGAAAGCACATGAGCCGTCGGCGGAGCTGAACGAAGACACGGAGGCCCAGAGCCGTGACAGGGATGAGGTGCAAGCCTGCTAAAGCCTGTGTCTGCTCCCCGCCCCCACCCGGCTGCCCCTCCACCTCCCTTCCCTTATTTCTGTGACACTTCGCCTGCTGTCTGCCTGCAGTAGCTACACGGAGCAGCGGGGAGCAGGGCGGCACAGGCCAGTGCTCTACTGTGAAATAAAAAGAAAGCTGGGGCCAGCTCCATGGCGCAGGTTCATCCTCCGCCTGCGGTGCCGGCATCCCATATGGGCGCCGGTTCTAGTCCCGGCTGCCCCTCTTCCAACCCAGCTCTCTGCTGTGGCCTGGGAAAGCAGTAGAAGATGCCCAAGTGCTTGGACCCCTGCACCCACGTGGGAGACTGGGAAGAAGCACCTGGCTCCTGGCTCCTGATCGACGCAGCTCCGGCCACTGCAGCCATCTGGGGAGTGAACCAACAGAAGAAAGACCTCTCTCTCTGTCTCTCCATTTCACTGTCTATACCTCTCAAATACATAAATAAAATCTTTAAAAAAATAATAAATAAAAAATAAATGAAATAAAAAGCAAGTCTGCCTCCTCCTCACTCAGTGACTTCCAGGTCCTGGCCGTCGGAAGAGTCGTCGTCTCCGAGGATGTTTTCTGGGTCTGGTTTCCGAATGAGAAAGAAGAGAACCGCCCCCACGAGGCTGATCACCGTCAGGGCGATAAACACTGTTCTTCGGTCACTCTCTAAGGGGGAGGAGAGGAGGAAGCAGACAGCAGAGACCAGACAATTCCAGAATCAGCATCAGGTCCACGTGGCTTACACCCACCAAAACTCATCGCCACAACGCTTGAATGTCAGTACAGCAGAGGGCAGAGGGGTAAACAGGACACTCCACCTCTGTCCAAAGAAAAACCGCACAGAATGTAATCACATTCTTCTAGTGAAACAGTGTACAAGACAAAACCACTGAGCGCTCGAGTCCCCTGACATCCGGTACACTTCTGCACAGCATAACCTTCTCTCAGACCGAGACACCACCTGGAGCACAGGGACAAACTGTAATCCTAACTTAAGAATATAATCCAGGGGCTGGCACTATGGTGCAGTAGGCTAAGGGTCCCCCTGTGGCACTGACATCCCATATGGGCATTGATTCATGTCCTGGCTGCTCCACTTCCGATCCAGCTCTCTGCTAATGGCCTGGGAAAGCAGTAGAAGATGGCCCAAGTCCTTGGGCCCCTGCACCCATGTGGCAGACTCAGAAGAAGCTCCTGGCTCCTGGCTTCAGATCAGCCCAGCTTCAGCCACTGTGGCTATTTGGGGAGTAAATCAATGAATGAAAGACCTTTCTCTCTGTCTCTCCCTCTTTCTGTCTGTAACTCTGCCTCTCAAATAGCACTGTGGTACAGCAGGTTAAAGCTGCCACCTGGGATGCTGGCAGCCGACATGGGCACCAATTTGTGTCCTAGCTGCTCCACTTCCGATCCAGCTCCTTGCTGATGGCCTGGGAACGGCAGGGGCAGGTGGCCCCAGTGGCTGGGCCCCTGCTACCTATGTGCAAGACCCGGATGAGGATCTTCTTAGCTCCTGGCTCCAGCCTGGCCCAGCCCCGGCCATTGTGGCCATCCGGGGAGTGAACCAGCGGTCAGAAGATGTCTATGTCTCTCCTCTCTGTAACTCTGCCTTTCAAATATATAAATAAGTCTTTAATATAGAGACAGATATTTTTAAAAATCCAAGGAAAAAGTTTTCTGAAAGTTAAATCTGAGAGGACTTGAGGTAGCAAACTTGTGTAGAACAACGTTTACGAGCAAACTGGGGATTTCTGCGGAATTGCGATTTTGCTCTGGACATATGTGAATAAAGCAAAGTGAGCGAAACAAACCTGATATGTGAGTTTTCCCTTGCCAGGCGAAATATATGTAGAGATTTCCGAAGAATAAGCTGCAGGAAGAAGGAGAGGAAAGGGTGTTGATCAATTGGTTCATACACACAATGTAAGCAGTTATGTCCACTGTTTTTAAAAAATAACTTTTTAAAGGGAATTACCAGTGTACATTTCACTTACAGTATTTTTTTTTTCTTTTTTAACCTTTATTTATTTGAAAGGTAGAGAGACAGAGAATCTGGTGGTTCATTCTCTATATGCCCACACAGCCAGAGCTGTAGCAGGCCAAAGCCAGCAGCCAGGAGCTCAATCCAGGGCTCTCACATGGCTGGCAGGGACCCAAATGCTTGAGCCATCACCTGCTGCCTCACAGGGTGTGTATGAGCAAGAAGCTGGAATAGGAAGTGAGCCAGAACTTGAACTTGGGTGCTCCGATAAGGGAAATGGGTGTTCCAAATGGTGTCAGCCATGGCACCATGCATCTGCTCTTTTCTTTCATAACATAAATATAACACGTTTTTTCAAAACATAATAAAGTCCTCCATTTGAGCAAATAAGAAAGGATATACACAGACTACTGAAGCCACTCAAGTCCTTGCTTGCCTGGTCGCTGACATGTGTCCCAAGGAGTCATGTCTAGAAATGGGAGTTCAGGCGGGAGAGTCCTCGAGACCAGCGCCAAGATTCCCTGACACAAAGCCCCGCTCTCCCAGAGACACACAATGTCTGAGGTGTCAACTCCACCTCTTTCTGAAAGATCTAACCAACCCAGAAGGGATCAAGACTCCTCTCACGGGACAGGAACCTGACTCAGCTGCTTCAGACAGCACTTGACTCACTGTGAAACATGGGATTCACTGGAACTCTGAACCTGACTTCTTGGAAACAAGCTTATGCTGCTTGTAAAATCCCAACCTTTAACGAACTCAAGAAAGGAAAATCTGCCTTCATTATCTGCATCCAGTCAGACACTACTGAGCCAAGGGAAGGAGCCGCTCACCCACGCTCCCGCGTCTCGATGCACTCTCTCCCAGGACGGAAGAGCTCCTCCCTGTGTCATTATATTCCTCAAACAAACAAAAAATTAAAAAATACACACACACACAATCCCTTAAAACTAAACATCTACATTTGTTAAGCCTTATCAAGGTCAAAAGTTTGGCGAGACCCATGAGAACAGATTCCTAAAATCCAAGAATCGTAGGCAGAACAACTGCTGATTTTTTCTCCTCAGGAAATACTAATTGCATTACATTGCTCTGAACTGGTACAGTTAGTTTGATTTTTGCGTTTCAGGCACCAGCTGTCAGGTAGTACAGTTCAGCGGGAAGAACCTGGCTCTGGGAGTCAAGACAACGAGGGCTTAGATTGAAAAGTCAGGGACAGTTTTGGGGCGCAGTCGGTTACGTCGCCATCACGCACACAGCAGCCCACATCAGAGTACCAGTTCAAATCTTGGCTGCTCCACTTACAACCCAGCTTCCTGCTGAAGCACCTGAGAGAGCAGTGGAAGATGGCCTGAGGACTTTGGCCCCGCCCTTCAAGTGGGAGGTCTGGATGGAGTTCCAGGCTCCCATCTTGGGCCTGGCAAAGACCTGGCTGTTGTGGCCATTTGAGAAAATGAATCAAGGAATGGAGGACCTATCTTTCTCTGTCACTCCACATTTCAAATAAATAAATATTAAAAGTAAACTGTTGGGGCTGGCGCTGTGGCGCAGCGAGTTAAAGCCCTGGTATCCCATATGGGCGCTGGTTTGAATCCCGGCTGCTCCACTTCCGATCCCGCTCTCTGCTATGGCCTGGGAGAGCACTGCCCAAGTCCTTGGGCCCTTGTACCTGCGTGAGAGAGCCGAAGGAAGCTCCTGGCTTCGGATCGGCACAGCTCTGGCCATTGTGGCTATCTGGGGAGTGAACCAACAGATGGAAGATCTCTTCCTGTCTCTACATCTCTCTTTAACTCTGTCTTTAAATAAATAAATAAATCTTTAAAAAAAAATAAATCTTGGGGGCCAGCACTGTGGCAGAGCGGGTGAAGCCGCTACCTGCAGTGCCGGCATCCCATATGGGCACCAGTTTGAGTCCCGGCTGCTCCACTTCCGATCCAGCTCTCTGCTGTGGCCTGGGAAAGCAGTAGAAGATGGCCCAAGTGCTTGGGCCTCTGTACCCACATGGGAGACCCAGACGCTCCTGGCTCCTGGCTTCAGATCAGTGCAGTTCCAGCCATTGTGGCCATATGGGGAGTGAACCAGCAGATGGAATACTTCTCTCTCTCTCTCTCTCTCTCTCCGTAACTGCCTTTCAAATAAATAAATCTTACAAGTTACTTAATTTAATTTTTAAGTCTGTTTTCTCATCTGTGAACACAAAGAATAGCTTCTCCTCTTGTGAAGCGAAGAGGATTATGTGAAACGAAGCAAAGACTCCCAGCCCCTCAAATACAGCAGATGCTGAACATGGAGGATAGCACCATTTTCTAATTAGTCACAGGTCTCCGTGACGCAGGCCCACACATTTCTAGTAACGCTCTAAGATTTTCAATCTGTATCACATTCAGCTGGGAACCCAGTTCAGGCAGCACTGAAGACCTGAATTTCCAACAAAACAGACTTGAGAAACAGTGTGACACATACCCACCCACAAGGAAAGACTGAGTTTCCGAAGGGTCATTACCTGGACTGCAAGAGCGCCCAGAAAATTCCACTGTTCCTCCCAATAGTGTGCTCATCTGAATTGATTGTCAGGCAGTTTCCTTGTGCTGTCCAGAGTACTACAATTCAAAACAAAAGCTCATCAAGGGAATGAACTCTCTTAGCTTTACTATTGCCCCTGGACCCTGGAAAACACGATAAAAAGCCAAACACTCACCAGCGGCTGCGATTCCAATGAAAACGGAGGCCGTGTAGAAGGACCACGGGAAAGGCTGGATAAAAACGGCAATGTACATGCTAAAACGCAACAGGCCACGCATTACAGTCACACAACACCTGCGACGGCGCCGCGCTCGCCTTCCAGGAATCGGTTCTGGGCTCTTCTCTTAAATTCAACCCACAAGGGACCTCTCCCGATTTGAAAGAAGGGGACAAATGTGAACTACTCATTTCTTTACCTACTATTTCAAATGTGTGAGATTGGACATGGTACAGGATTCCAATAGCCTTTGCTGATAGCCTAGCACACAATGGACCATAGCCCAGGAGCCCAGAGGAATGCTTAGTTATTTCACTGGATTCTCTGTTAACTGGCTAGAAAGTAAGATTATTTCATGGGAAGCCTTTTACATGGAGAGAGATCTGAGGGTACAATTCTTATCAGTACTTAAAAAAAAAAAAAAAACAGACGACACATAAACGATACAATATCCCCAACCAAAAAGCAGAGGACCAGATGCCCGAATTCCTCCCAGATCCTACTTAAACCACAGCTGCAAGTTCCTGCTGAAGCTATTATGCGCTTGGAAGATGCTGAAAGGGCCCAGTGAGATCCGTGAAGCAGTGTCCCACTCACCTGTAAAATAAGCCACTGACAAACATGGAGAGTTGAGGTCCTACAACAGCGACCACTGATGGCGTGATCAGATTGGAGGCGGAGAACACTCCATAAATGATGGCCATGCTGTCCACGCGACACCCAGAGGAAGGAAAGAACAAGACCTTCAGCAGTGTCTCAAACGCTCACTTTCAAAAACTCAGCATCTGTAGATTTCACAGGGAACATTCCTATTCTTTGGCCTGAATTGTTTTGATAATCGCATCATTAAATAACACCATATTAAAATCCTCACTTACAGGAAACACTAAAGTCCCCTTCACCATTTCTTTGCATCAGTTTGTGCATTAATGTACCAGTAAACTACGATGGCAGCCATTATATAACAGGTACTGTGCCAAGTACTTTATTCTTATTTTCTCTCATAATCCTAGCAGTTCCAGGAATAAGGTAATGTAATTTGTCTCATTTTACCAAAAAAGAAAACTGAAACACATTGAGGGGAAGTAACTTGCCCCAGACCAGTTGGGTGGCTGGTGAACACAAGCCAGGATCCCCTCCCTGGCAACGGGACTCTGGAGGCCAAGGTCAACCTGACTGTGCTACAAACTTAGCCTACAACTTCTGGCGACTGCAGGACCTTCCATAAATAACAAGCATGAAGTTATAACTTGTTAAACAGGAACTGACTGGCCTCAACCAGATGGTCTCATTTGAACATTGTGCTATTGACACAGCCCCAGTGTTATCTCACACAAGGTGCAACTAAAACCATCTCAAGGATCCTGAACTCATTTACCAGCCACTACCTACACATTCAAATTGTTCTTTGGGTTTTATGACTCTCTCCAATATCAAATGTGTTTTTAACTCTGCTCTTTACAGGACATGTGAAGACAAAGTACTACAAAAAGTTGCGGTACTACTATTGTTGGATGAGAAGAATAGATATGAACATGCCTTCATTATCAAGTATCATATACAAGACTCAGAGGAAGCAATAAAGACCGAATTAGGAAAAGCAGCAGGAGCCGGCACTGCAGTGCAGCGGGCTAACCCACAGCCTGCAACCACACCCCACGTGAGTGCTGGCGGGAGCCCCGGCTGCTCCACTTCTCACGCAGCTCCCTGCTAACGCCCCTGAGAAAACAGTGGAAGATGCTTGGGCCCTGCCACCCACCTGGGAGACCTGGATGCAGTTCCAGGCTCCTGGCTTTGGCCTGGCCCCGCCCTGGCTGTTGTGACCATTTGGAGAGTGAACCATTTGGAAAGCGGATGGATCTCTGAGTGTGTGTCTGTGTCTCCCTCCCTCCCTGTAACTCTGCTTTTCAAATAAATGAATAATCTTAGGAAAAAGAAAGTTGCAGAGCAGGGAATGCCACAACCCAATAGCTAACTACAGAGAGGCCGGCGCCGCGGCTCACTAGGCTAATCCTCCGCCTAGCGGCGCCGGCACACCGGGTTCTAGTCCCGGTCAGGGCACCGGATTCTGTCCCGGTTGCCCCTCTTCCAGGCCAGCTCTCTGCTGTGGCCAGGGAGTGCAGTGGAGGATGGCCCAGGTGCTTGGGCCCTGCACCCCATGGGAGACCAGGAGAAGCACCTGGCTCCCGCCATCGGATCAGTGCGGTGCGCCAGCCGCGGCGGCCATTGGAGGGTGAACCAACGGCAAAGGAAGACCTTTCTCTCTGTCTCTCTCTCTCACTGTCCACTCTGCCTGTCAAAAAAAAAAAATAAATAAAAAATAAAAATAAAAAAAAAATAGCTAACTACAGAGAAATCAGAACCCGTTCACGTCTCAATCCAGCAATTCCACAAAGCGCGTGCAAGGGGCGTGTGCAGATACACACAGGAAGACACAATTGCTGTCAATAAAACACAACGTTGTTAAGGAGAAACCTGTGTTTGTACACACTACATTCCCAGCTCTGAGCACAAGGAGCCAGTAACTTGCGAGGGTTTACCCGTTTTTGCCACCTATAAAATTGAGAAGATACCTTAAAGCTCCCGATGCACACATATGAATGCTTATGAAATTACAAAAAAAGGGGAAAACCTAATGTTTCCGGAATCCCACAAAACATGATGTTCCTTAGGACGGGTGGAACGCAGGCGCTCATTAAATGGCTCACTCTGCACTCGGCGTCTGCGCTCGCAGCAGGGGGCTCAGGGAAATAAGCTGGCCAAGCTAAGGAAGCAGCCAGGCTCCCACAGGAAGCCTAAGCCCAGCACCCTACTGCATTCCGTCCTCCCAAGCCCAGGGCCCCACAGGGAGGCGACCCCGGGGACTCAACCCCAGGTCCCACAGGGAGGCGACCCCGGGGACTGAACTCCAGGTCCCCACAGGGAGGCGACCCCGGGGACTGAACCCCAGGTCCCACAGGGAGGCGACCCCGGGGACTGCACCCAGGTCCCCACAGGGAGGCGACCCCGGGGACTCAAGCCCCTGTCCCCACAGGGAGGCGACCCCGGGGACTGAACCCCAGGTCCCACAGGGAGGCGACCCCGGGGACTGAACCCAGGTCCCACAGGGAGGCGACCCCGGGGACTGAACCCCAGGTCCCACAGGGAGGCGACCCCGGGGACTGCACCCAGGTCCCCACAGGGAGGCGACCCCGGGGACTGCACCCAGGTCCCCACAGGGAGGCGACCCCGGGGACTCAAGCCCCTGTCCCCACAGGGAGGTGACCCCGGGGACTCAAGCCCCTGTCCCCACAGGGAGGTGACCCCGGGGGCTGCACCAGGGCCTCCCTGCTGGCGAGGGCGGGGGATCGGGCCGCCGCCCCCGGTGAGGCTAAGCCGGGCGCCGGCGCACGGTACCTGGTGTAGCCGCTGCCGTGGAAGTCGGTGCGGTTCAGACTCCGGATGACAGTTTGCTGTGGGGAGACAAAGCCATCAGCGGAAAGCGTCGCGCCGCCTGCCCCGCCTCGGGAAGCCGGGTCCCGGGAACTCGGAGGCTAAGCGCACACCCGGACGCCGAGCAGGCCCGGGGCTGCCGGACGGCGGGGCGCAGCGCGAGCCGCGCGGCTCCGACTCTCTCCACCCCAGCACCCGGCGCGGCGGCGCGCGGACAAGCAGGCAGCCAGTCAGCCGCGAAGAGGACGCGGGAGTGTGCAGCGCCCGTGAACAGCAAGCACCCCGAGATCACACCTGACCGCGGAGAGGCTGGGAGGCGCGGCCCGACTCACCGCCACATTCCCGCAGGTCTGAAAGGCGGTGAACATGAACATGAACGCCACTCCCAGAATAACGATGTTGAAAAGCTTTTTAGACTCCGGGGCCATCCTGGCTGCGCTCGGCTGTCCCCGGGGCGGCGCGGGCCCGGCGGCCAGCTTCCACTCCGCGCGGGTCGGCGCTGCGGGCCGGAGCCAAGTTCCCCCGCCGGCACGGTGAGCTCGTGCCTAGGACGCCATGCGAGGACGGAGAGCCCAGCCCCGCAGAAGCTCCGAGGACGCAGCGGCTCCAGGCGCCCGGGACTCACAGGCTGAGGGCCAGCTGCAGCGGCCAGCGCCGCCCGGCCAGCGCAGCCCTGACTCACCGCGGGCGCGCGGCTCCGTCAGCTGACCGCAGCCGCCGCTCGGCCCGCTGGGAAATGTAGTCCCCGGCGGCACGCGACGCGCAGGCGCACTGCGAGCACTCCCGGCCCTGCTGAGAGGAGGCGGGGGCTGGGAAGCGGGACGCGGTCGGGAGTGGTGGGGAAGTGCGAGAGAGGGTCCTGGAGACGACCTAGTGGGGACTGACGGAGGCCGAGGACACAGCGAGGCAAAGGGGGACAGAAGCAGCCCTCTGACAGACTCGCAGCTGAGGGTCGAGCGGCAAAGCGGCGTGGACCTCGGGTATTGGCACGAGAGGAGGGCGGGGCCCAGCCTGATAGCCCCGCCTCTTCCGCCAGCCCGAACCGGAAGGAGCGTTTCGCGGGCTTTCCAACTGCCCTCCAGTTCCGCTCCCCCGCCCTCCCGCAGTGACAACGCGCTTTTTGGCCCGCCCGCCGGGCTCTGCGCAGGCGCGCACGGCAGGGGCGGGCGCGCGGCGTACGTCGTTAGGGGGCGGGGCGGGGCGAGCCAATCAGAGGATTCATTTCCGGGTGGCGCGGGCGCCATTTTGTGAGGCGAGCTATAAACGGGCGCTGGGGCCGGCCGCCCGCTCAGTCGCTGCTCAGGTGCGCCCGGCCGCGGGCTTTTACCTCTCGGCCTCCTCTCTAGACTCGCTTCGCGTTCCCACGCGGGAGGCGGCCGCCAGCGGGGAGGCGCGGCGTCGCCCGCCGGGACCTGAGGAAGCCGCCGCGTCGGCGGCAGCGCGCGGGCCCGCCCAGGGCGTTAGAGTCTCGGCGCCAGTTCGCGGGGCCTCCGGCCGCCTCCCAGCCATGAGCTACGGCCGCCCGCCCCCCGATGTGGAGGGCATGACCTCGCTCAAGGTGGACAACCTGACCTACCGCACCTCGCCCGACACGCTGAGGCGCGTCTTCGAGAAGTACGGGCGCGTGGGCGACGTGTACATCCCGCGGGACCGCTACACCAAGGAGTCCCGCGGCTTCGCCTTCGTGCGCTTCCACGACAAGCGCGACGCCGAGGACGCCATGGACGCCATGGACGGCGCGGTGCTGGACGGCCGCGAGCTCCGCGTGCAGATGGCGCGCTACGGCCGCCCGCCGGACTCGCACCACAGCCGCCGCGGCCCGCCGCCCCGCAGGTACGGGGGCGGCGGCTACGGCCGGCGGAGCCGCAGGTGAGCGGGGCGGGGCGGGCGGGCCGGCTCACAAAGGCCCGCGGAGCACGTGGGGCGCGCGGCCGCCGGGGACCCCGCCCTCCGCGCCCCCCGGGCTGGGGGCGGGCGCCGGGCCCCGCCGGGCGCGGAGGGAAATGGCGCCGCCGTGGCGGGCGCGAGATAATGGCGGGCGGGCGGGCGGGGCGGGCGCCGCCTGGAGTGACCGCGCCGCGCTGCTCGTCCCGCCCCGCAGCCCGAGGCGGCGCCGCCGCAGCCGCTCCCGGAGTCGGAGTCGCTCCCGGTCCCGAAGCCGATCTCGCTACAGCCGCTCCAAGTCGCGGTCCCGCACGCGGTCGCGCAGCCGCTCGACGTCCAAGTCCAGATCGGCGCGAAGGTCCAAGTCCAAGTCCTCGTCGGTGTCCAGGTCGCGCTCACGGTCCAGGTCCCGGTCCCGGTCCAGGAGCCCTCCCCCCGTCTCCAAGCGGGAGTCCAAGTCCAGGTCGCGATCCAAGAGCCCCCCCAAGTCTCCGGAGGAGGAAGGAGCCGTGTCCTCTTAAGAAAATGGTAATGTCTGTGGGCCCGAGCGCACCGCCTAGGTCTGCACGGGGCTTGGCGTGGTGTTGTGAGCCGTGGTGATGTGGAAAGCGACTCCCGTCGGGAGAGCTGCTCCGAGGTTACTCGGCTTTGGGCGTAATACTGAAGAGGGGTCTGCAGAGAGGATGTGTGGAAAGCTTAGATAATGATGGCTGTTTCGTAAACTGTTTGAGACCTATTAATGAAAATGACTATTTCTTGCTGTTTTTATCCAACGTCTGCATTTTCCCCCTTTAAAGCTGCGGTCTCCTGTTTGATAAAAGAATATTGGCCAGTATTGCAGATTTTAACTGATTTGGCTGATCCTCCAGGGACCAGTTTCTGTGGGCGTGTATTGGAGCAGGTTTGTCTTTAAATGTTAAAGATGCACTATCCTCTTAGAGAAAAACAATCAGTTCAACTATTGTTGTACTGACTGGGACTTCCTATTCTAATGGATGTAGCACACGAGTTGAAATGCGAAGCAATGAACTTTTGGAACCCCAAAACAAAGTACAGGTATCGCGCTGGGTGGGGAAAGGATAGTGTGTCTTTAACTCTCAAATCGTTTGGTCCTATTTTTTAAGAGGAAAGGGCCCTAACTAGCTCAGATAAAAGCATTATTTTATCTCAATTGCCAAATACTTAATTTGGAAACATTTATCTTAAAATATAGTCTGATACTCTGACCTCAAGTTTCTGTTTGGATACAGCCCCTGCCCCCCATTCCCTCCCCCCTCCTTTCCCCCCCTTATCACTCCCCACCACCACCACCACCACCACCTTTTTTTTAAACTTTGTTTACTTAGCCAAAAAATAGATAAATTGACAGTTGGTGGTAGCCATTGAAAATTTCTTAATCGGGCCTTTAGAAAACTGATCATGGCCGGGTGGAACCTTACCGTAACCTCCTTGTTTCACCAGAGCCTTAGTAAGTACAAGCCTGAAACTGAAACCATGTGCACTGGGCCCTCCTGGTGATGGGAGGTAAGCTGAACTCGTTTCTTTTCAAACCTAGATGTGTCTGCGAGGAGCCTAATGGAGGACTTGAGAAAAGGACCACATACTCAGTCCATCGGTTTGGTCCGTTGAAGAATCCTTGGAACAACCAACTGGCTATTGAAAAGGTTATTTTGTAACATTTGTCTAACTTTTTACTTGTTTTAATCTGCCTCAGGTGGCAAACTTCATTTTATGTGCCATTTTGTTGCTGTTATTCAAATTTCTTGTAATTTAGTAAGGTGAACGACTTCAGATTTCATTATTGGATTGGATATTTGAGGTAAAATTTCATTTTGTTTATATAGTGCTGACTTTTTGTTTGGAATTAAACAGATTGGTAACCTAATTTGTGGCCTCCTCACTTTTAAGGAAACATGTGCAGCCATTACAGTCTAAAGCTGTCAAGAGATTGACTCAACATTGCCTTCATTCCTTAAAATTTAAAAAAAAAAAAAAAACTACAAAAGTTGGTGTAAATTTGTATATGTTATTTACCTTCAGATCTAAAAATGGTAATCAGAACCCAAATTTGTATAAAGACTTCAGGTGAAAAGACTTGATTTTTTTTTGAAAGGATTGTTGACCAAACACAATTCTAATCTCTTCTCTTGTGTATTTTTGTGCACTAGGCGCAGTTGTGTAGCAGTTGAGTAATGCTGGTTAGCTGTTAAGGTGGCGTGTTGCAGTGCAGAGTGCTTGGCTGTTTCCTGTTTTCTCCCGATTGCTCCTGTGTAAAGATGCCTTGTCGTGCAGAAACAAATGGCTGTCCAGTTTATTAATGCCTGACAACTGCACTTCCAGTCACCCGGGCCTTGCATATAAATAACGGAGCATACAGTGAGCACCTCTAGCTGATGATAAATACACCTTTTTTCTCCCTCTCCCCCCAAAAATGGTAAACCGGATTGTCTTGTATGAACTTAAAATATGGAAAATGTTAAGGAAACATGGTTTGTAACTTTGTAAGTACTTATAACATGGTGTATCTTTTTGCTTATGAATATTCTGTACTATAACCATTGTTTCTGTAGTTCAATTAAAATGTTTTCTTGGTGTTAGCTTTTCTCAGAATGTGTCTTGGTCTTTTTTCCCGTCCGTCTCAGATCTCTGCAGTTGAGGTCACTGCAGAGGGTGGAAGGCAAGATGCCTGAGTGCGTGAAACCACTGCTGTGCGGCAGTGCTTTTTCTTGAGACAGTCCCCGCCTCAGCCTAACCCATGCCCGTCTTACTGCCAAGCACAGTCCAGTCCTTTATCTTAGAAGGTGTTTATTTTTCCCTTGTTGTGCCACATCCCAATTTCAGGCCAGCAGACTTGACCGTTTCAGCCCACTGCACTTGGCCTGATCTGACTGCAGCTGCTGGGGTGCTGGTCAGCGTTGGCTCTGCCCCTGAGCAGCTGTGTGGGTCTAGCCTGGGCCCTCTGCACGGGAGATGACCAGCATTTCAACTGTGTGTCTTCCTGGGAGGGCGGAGTCTGCGATGTGCTCCTTGTCAGCATCGAAAGACCCCAGGGGGACGTGGGCGCATCTCATCTCCCACTTGTAGAGCAGAGCTTCCAGGGACCAGTCAGCGCTGGAGGAAAAGGAATTGAGAGAGCTTGGGTATAGTTCAACCTTAGGCCTTAAACTAGATGTTGCCCGAGTACTAATAAAGCCTAAGTAGGCCGGGACTGCCAATGCTCACCTCCTAACCTGGTAAGTAGACCACAGCTGAACTCTGGGGTTCTTCTGCATCAGGAAGTACACTGTAGTCAAGATGTCTTCAAAGTCTGAGGGGAGAGATTTTTTAGGGCAGCCTTCCCCTGCGATGCATCTGGCCAAGGGCACCGCCGAGCAGCTTTACCTTCTGGTTCAAAGAAGACATCAGATGCCAGAACGATGTCCTGTGGCGGCAGGCCCAGGAGATCCTGAGAGACATGGCCCCACGTCAGGCCCAGGACGGGCACCTGCGGCAGGTGGTTCATCCGGCAGCTCTGCCGACAGATCTCCAGACAGTGCGGGAGCTCCGCGCTGTCTGACAGCGTGACTTTGGCGCCACATTTTGCAGCCACAATTCCTGGAAGGCTCACACCGGCTCCAATCTAGTCGAACAGCATTGGGAATTTTTTGAACTGGAAGGAATTTGGGATTTCCTCCTAAACATTGTTGTGCTTTCCTATAAACAAATGTACCACGACAAGAAGTTCCAACTGCTGGTTCACTCCCCCAGTGACCAGAAAGGCCAGAGGTGGGCGGATCCAAAGCCCAGAGCTGAGCTCAAGCATTGGAGCCATTAGACTCCCAGGCCACAGCAGAGCTGGATCGGCAGAGGAGCAGCGGGGCTAGAACTGGCACCCAAGTGGGATGCTGGCACCACAGGCATAGGCTCAGCCCACTCCCCACAGCCAGCCCAGTTATCAGGTTTATTCATTGTTCTGTACCTGAAACCGTCACCCCCAAGTGGCAAACCTGCTGCCCCAGGTTTGGGCAGGACATAGGTTTGCCTATGACCATTTTGGGCAAGCAGATATGAAGTGAAATGTTCCATGACAGGTGGAAGGTTGAGATTAGACGAAACCTCCACTCCACTCCCCAAATGCCAGGGAAGGGCCAGAGCTGGGGTCCCGCGTGTGGGTGGCATCTGCTGCTATACCAGGCCCATCCCCAGCTACCCAGTTCATAGCATGGAAAGCCCGTCGGCACGGCTTAGGCTGCCGCTGGTGGACTGCGGTTCAGGGGAGAACACCAAAGGGCTAAACGGTAGATGGTTCAGGCTCCTGGGCCTCCTGTGGGCTGGCACGTTAGCTCAGACCTTTCAGGCTGGCCCAGCCACCAGATTCTATGAAACAGAAAGGGCTGGTCATTGTGGCACAGTGGGTTAAACCGCCTCACTCCCGCAACGCCCACATCCCTTGGGGGCGGCTTGCAGTCCCGGCTGCTCCACTTCCAAGCCAGCTCCCTGCTAATGTGCCTGGGGAAGCAGTGGAACCTGTACCCACACGGGAGACACGGCCCAGCCCAGCCCTGGCCATTTTGGCTACCTCGGGAGTACGCCAGCTGACCTGTCTCTCCTTCTCTCTGTAAGTATGCTTTTATAAGGCAGTAAGTGTAAAATGAGAGCATGATGGAGGCTTCTGTACCTCTAAGACAGCCTTGCCCGGCAGGGATCTTCTGTGAAACCAGAGGTACTGGGCCAGGACCACAGCACAGGGCCAAACGTACATTCCATACTGCGGGTGCAGAACCTGGAGAGAATGTTTCTGTAAGCCATAAGTAACTCACCTGCTGGAAGCTCGAATATACGCAGCAGCTGCTTTCGGACAATGGCCTCCATTAACAAAAATGACAGCCCGGCTCCAGGTCAGCACCGGCGGGATACGAAACAGCAGCCGTGCCAGGCCCCACGCTCAAGACTGCAGATTAAGGTACAGGGCCTGTCACTGGAGAACACAGGCAACAAGCCCACGCGTGCTATGAACCCAAGAGTGACATGGGGCCGGTGCTGTGGCGTAGTGGCTAAAGCCACCGCCTGCAGTGCCAGCATCCATATGGGCGCCGGTTCAAGTCCCGGCTGCTCCTCTTCCAATAGAGCTCCGCTAACGGCCTGGGAAAGCAGTGGAAGAGCCGAGTACTTGGGCCCTGCACCCACGTGGGAGACCTGGAGGAAGCTCCTGGCTTTGGACCAGCGCAGCTCCGGCTGTTGTGGCCATCCCGGGAGTGAGCCAGCGGATGAAGACCTTTCTCTCTGCTTTCTGTAACTGCCTTTCAAATAAATACGTAACTTTTAAAAAGAAAAAGAGTGATGTGCAGCATAACGTGTGCGGGAGCAGGGACAACCACACGGTGACAAGGAAGTCAGGCACAGGCAGAACTGACTGAAGCCAGCCAGCCGCCTCAGGCCGGGCCTGGCAAGTGCAGGCGGGCTCGTGCTACCGGAAGCGCACCGTGGGGTCTCGTCAGCCACGGGAGTGTCACAGCAAGAAGTTCTGGAGGGTTCTAAGCTCAAACCGAACCGGCGGCGTCACTGGGAAACTGTGGGCCCAGGAATTCACCCCAGAGGGGAGCGGACTCAGGCCGCGCAGGGGTGGAGGGTGCCGCCTTGGCTCAGACTCCCCCGAGTTGCCTAACCTAACGGTGCTGAAGTTTCCTCGCCGGCCAGACAGCCGGGAAATTCGCGCTGTGCAGCCGGTGGGGCCGCAGCCTGCAGGGCCGGTTCGGGCCCCAGCTGCCCCTCTTCCCATCCAGCTCTCTGCTATGGCCTGGGAAGGCAGCGGAAGATGGCCCACGCCCCTGCACCCACGTGGGGGACCTGGAGGAAGCTCCTGGCTCCCATGGGCGCAGCTCTGGCCGTTGTGGCCATCTAGGGAGTGAACCAGCAGATAGAAGACCTCTCTGCCTTTCTTTCAAATAAAGATTCAAGGCAAACGACTTAGTGCAGGTGCGGGCACAGGCCAGGGGGAGCAGCGCTCAGGAGACCACAGCGGCCGCAGACGGGCGGACTGGATCATTCGATCCACGCAAAAAGTGAGCGCTTGAAACGCACTGGGCACTGCTGTAGGGCAGGAGAGGGGCCGCGCCTGGCCGGGAAGGGACGGACACCGGCCACGGGACAGGGCTGCGCGGGGCGCGGGCGCCTCCGTCTTCTCCCCAGCCCAGGGGGAAACCCAAGGGGGGCGTTCAGACGCAGCCGTCCGGAGACAGCAGAAGGGCACCTAGCCTCCGCCTGGGCCGTGGGACGGCCAACACCGCCCTCGCTGGCCGCTACGACGCAGAGGGAACGCGCGCGGGCCGGGAGCGCCCGTCCCCGGGGCCTGGGTCCCCTCGATTCCTCGACTTCACCCGCCAAAGGGCCTCTGGACCCAGACCTCTGTCCTCACTGCAGTCCGCTCCCCGACCCGGCGGGCTGGAGGCGCCCCGCACGCACCTGCGGCACGCGAACCTCCAGCACGGAGCCCCGCTCCCCCGAGAACCGGAAGCGCTGGCCCCGGGCCGCAAGTCCTCCTAAGCCCAGACAGGCGTCGGTGCGCTCGGGGCGGCCCGCGGCCCGCGGCGGGCACCGAGCCGCCAGGCTGCGCGCGTGGGGACCCCCGGCCGTCCACGCGGCCCGCACCGCCCGGCAGCGGGAAGGGCCAAGGCACGCTCCCACGACGCCCAGCGCGCGCGCGTGCGGAGCTCAGCCAACCCCGGGCCACGCACAAAACACGCGCCGCCAGGGCCCGGCCGGAAGCGGGCGCGGGGAGGCGGCGCGCGGCCGGAAGTGGCCGGCGCGCCGGAAGTGGGCGGGGCGGGCGGCGGCTGACGGGACCTTCCCAACATGGCGGAGGCCCGGCCTGTGTGAGGGCGGACCCCGGAGGCGCCGAGGCCAATGACGGGCCGCGGGAGACGGCGGGGCGGGGAGGACGGCCGCCGCATGCCCAACCCGAGGCTTGGGAGGTGGCTGGGGAGTGAATATTCTGGAAGGCGACTTTAAAGGCGCTGGGCCGGGGCGAAGGGCGTTTCGGGGCGGCCGCCGGCCGAGCTGGGAGGGGGCGCGCTCAGCGGCAGGGAGCGAGGCCGCCGCGGACCCCGCAGGATGAACCACAAGAGCAAGAAGCGGATCCGCGAGGCCAAGCGGAGCGCGCGGCCGGAGCTCAAGGACTCGCTGGACTGGACCCGGCACAACTACTACGAGAGCTTCCCGCTGAGCCCGGCGGCCGTGGCGGTGAGCGGGCGAGGGGCGGGCGAGGGGTCGCGCAGGCCCGGGCAGGCGCGCGGCCCGTGCCCCGGCCGCCTCGGCCGACCCCGCGGGTGCTCGTGGGGGGCGCGTCGTGACCGGCGGGTCTCTCCGATCCCCCCCCCCCCCCAGGATAACGTGGAGCGCGCAGACGCCCTGCAGCTGTCCGTGGAGGAGTTCGTGGAGCGCTACGAGCGGCCGTACAAGCCCGTGGTGCTGCTGAACGCCCAGGAGGGCTGGTCGGCGCAGGAGAAGTGGACGCTGGAGCGCCTGAAGCGGAAGTACCGCAACCAGAAGTTCAAGTGCGGCGAGGACAACGACGGCTACTCGGTGAAGATGAAGATGAAGTACTACATCGAGTACATGGAGAGCACGCGCGACGACAGCCCGCTCTACATCTTCGACAGCAGCTACGGGGAGCACCCCAAGAGGAGGAAGCTGCTGGAGGACTACAGAGTGCCCAAGTTCTTCACCGACGACCTCTTCCAGTACGCGGGCGAGAAGCGCAGGCCGCCCTACAGGTGAGGGGCCTCGGGGGTCTGGGGCAGTCAGTCCCCGCGTGGGTCAGAGCGCTGCCGCTCCGCTTCCCAGACGGCAGCCCACGGTCCAGCTGAGACCCGGGTGTGCAGTCCCAGGCCCGGCCCTGGCCCAGGTGTGGAGTCCCAGGCCCAGCCAAGACCCAGGTGTGGAGTCCCAGGCCCGGCCCTGGCTCAGCTGAGACCCTGGTGTGGAGTCCCAGGCCCGGCCCTGGCTCAGCTGAGACCCTGGTGTGGAGTCCCAGGCCCTGCCCTGGCCCAGCTGAACCCTGGTGTGGAGTTCCAGGCCCAGCTGAGACCCGGGTGTGCAGTCCCAGGCTCCAGCCTGGCCCAGCCGAGACCCGGGTGTGCAGTCCCAGGCCCAGCTGAGACCCGGGTGTGGAGTCCCAGGCCCAGCTGAGACCCGGGTGTGCAGTCCCAGGCCCAGCCCTGGCCCAGCCAAGACCCGGGTGTGCAGTCCCAGGCCCAGCTGAGACCCAGGTGTGGAGTTCCAGGCCCAGCTGAGACCCGGGTGTGCAGTCCCAGGCCCAGCTGAACCCTGGTGTGGAGTCCCAGGCCCAGCCGAGACCCAGGTGTGGAGTCCCAGGCCCAGCCCTGGCCCAGCCAAGACCCGGGTGTGGAGTCCCAGGCCCAGCTGAGCCCGGGTGTGCAGTCCCAGGCCCGGCCCTGGCCCAGCTGAGACCCGGGCGTGGAGTCCCAGGCCCGGCCCTGGCCCAGCTGAGACCCAGGTGTGGAGTTCCAGGCCCAGCTGAGACCCGGGTGTGGAGTCCCAGGCTCCAGCCTGGCCCAGCTGAGACCCGGGTGTGGAGTCCCAGGCCCGGCCCTGGCCCAGCTGAGACCCAGGTGTGGAGTTCCAGGCCTAGCTGAGACCCGGGTGTGCAGTCCCAGGCTCCAGCCTGGCCCAGCCGAGACCCAGGTGTGGAGTTCCAGGCCCAGCTGAGACCCGGGTGTGCAGTCCCAGGCCCAGCTGAACCCTGGTGTGGAGTCCCAGGCCCAGCCGAGACCCAGGTGTGGAGTCCCAGGCCCAGCCCTGGCCCAGCCAAGACCCGGGTGTGGAGTCCCAGGCCCAGCTGAGCCCGGGTGTGCAGTCCCAGGCCCGGCCCTGGCCCAGCTGAGACCCGGGCGTGGAGTCCCAGGCCCGGCCCTGGCCCAGCTGAGACCCAGGTGTGGAGTTCCAGGCCCAGCTGAGACCCGGGTGTGGAGTCCCAGGCTCCAGCCTGGCCCAGCTGAGACCCGGGTGTGGAGTCCCAGGCCCGGCCCTGGCCCAGCTGAGACCCAGGTGTGGAGTTCCAGGCCTAGCTGAGACCCGGGTGTGCAGTCCCAGGCTCCAGCCTGGCCCAGCCGAGACCCAGGTGTGGAGTTCCAGGCCCAGCTGAGACCCGGGTGTGCAGTCCCAGGCCCAGCTGAACCCTGGTGTGGAGTCCCAGGCCCAGCCGAGACCCAGGTGTGGAGTCCCAGGCCCGGCCCTGGCCCAGCCGAGACCTGAGTGTGGAGTCCCAGGCCCAGCTGAGACCCGGGTGTGCAGTCCCAGGCCCAGCCGAGACCCGGGTGTGGAGTCCCAGGCCCAGCTGAGACCCGGGTGTGCAGTCCCAGGCCCAGCTGAACCCAGTGTGGAGTTCTAGGCCCAGCCCTGGCCGTTGCAGGCACCTGGGGACTGAACCAGCAGGTGGAAGACGGCTCTCTCCGTCCTCACGCTCGCTTTGCCTTCAAGTCGATGAAAAGAAGCAAACCTGCTCTAAAACGTCTTGGTGGCGGTAGCGTGTGTTGGCCGCCGGCTGACCCTTTTCCAGAATAGTGAAGTGGTTCTCCCCGGGCCGCGCGGAGCTCATTTAGGGTCTTTTTTTTTTTTTTTTTTTTTTTTTAAGATTTATTTTAGTTACTTGAAAGACAGTTACAAAGAAAGACAAAGAGAGGACTTCCACCCGCTGGTTCACTCCCCAGATGGCCACAACGGCTGGAGCTGAGCTGATCCAAAGCCAGGAGCTTCTTCCAGGTCTCCCACGCAGGTGCAGGGGCCAAGGACTTTGCCATCTTCCACTGCCTTCCCAGGCCACAGTAGGGAGCTGGATGGGAAGTGGAGCGGCCGGGACTAGAACCGGCGCCCATATGGGATGCTGCACTTCAGGCCAGGGCGTTAACCCGCTGCGCTAGAGCGCTGGCCTCGTCATTCAGGGTCTCAGGCGATGCAGACCACCTGGGCGCCAGGGTTTCTGAAACTCCCAGGCGAGTGCAGCGCAGTGGGTCCTCTGTGCTGGGAGGGGAGCCTTCCTGGTTAAGGTCCAGCAGGGATGTCGTGCGAGCGAGTAGGTGAACCTACCGTTTCTGTGTGTCAGTTCTGTGAAGTGAAAATGAGTAATGTACAAACAAAGCAAGAAAAAGAAACTGCTCTCCTGTGCTGTGCGCCTGGACGGGAAGTTACCCCCTTACGTCCCGCTGTTTCTGCAGGTGGTTCGTGATGGGGCCGCCGCGTTCCGGAACAGGGATCCACATTGACCCTCTGGGAACCAGCGCCTGGAACGCTTTGGTTCAGGGCCACAAGCGCTGGTGCCTGTTCCCCACGAGCACCCCCAGGGAGCTCATCAAGGTGACCCGAGAGGAAGGAGGCAACCAGCAGGATGAGGCCATCACCTGGTTCAGCATCATCTACCCCCGGACACAGCTTCCGACCTGGCCGCCCGAGTTCAAACCCTTGGAGATCCTGCAGAAGCCGGGAGAGACTGTCTTTGTGCCAGGTACAGAGGAGCTGGGAGGAGGTGCATTCTGGGTAGCAGAAGTGTCTAGAGCGAGCCCACAGCAGTGCGTGTGTGTGCTGCCTGTGAGGGAGCTGACCGATACCACCCGATAGTGCGCGTGGGCAGGGCCGGGCCCTCGGTAACCGTGTGAGGCTCGCCCTCTGCCCGCGGTGGAGCCGCAGTCCCTGCGTGTGCCTAGCTGCTGGTGCGGCACCGGCTGCGGGGAGTGCGGCGGGAGATCCCTAAACAGCTGGCACTGTGGTCGGTGAGGTGTGTTTGTTGAGTTCGGTGTCCTGGACACCGCCACCTCCTGCCTTCCAGACCGAGGGCAGAGCCCTGGATGCGCAGGCTCCTGTGAAAGGCCAGAAAGTGCACACTGGGCCGCGTGCGTCACGGCTGGGCTGCGCAGGAAAGCCGCTCGCGCCACACGGCGCATTGGCAGCCTCGGGGTGTCCCGTCCCGCGTCTTGGTGTCACACGGTGGTTCCCCGCAGGCTCAGACCGTTAAACCGTTTCTCCGCTGCGTTGCAGGAGGCTGGTGGCATGTTGTCCTCAACCTCGACACCACCATTGCCATCACCCAGAATTTTGCCAGCAGCACCAACTTCCCCGTCGTGTGGCACAAGACGGTAAGAGGGAGACCAAAGTTATCGAGGAAATGGTATAGGTGAGAGACGCTTTTCTTCTTACTTCCGCTTTGTTCGATTGCTGCCCCAGAGCTGAACTGGAGAGAGTTCGCTCGGCGTTACCGAGGCCTGGGAGAAAGCTGGGGCTGCCAGGCTGCGGAGCAGAGAGGCTGAGGCCAGGGCCGGCGCGGCGCGCGTGCCAGCCGCCAGGCGGCAGGGCGAGGCCCTGCGTGTCCATCGCAGCCCCTCGAACGTGCTCCCAGCGGGACGGCTTCTCGTTTTGTTTTGGTTTTTTGTTTTCTGTTCTCAAAAGCTGGCGCTAGTGAAGGAGCCACTCGGTTGGGTTTTGTTTCGGTTATTTCCGTTTCTTACCCGGAAGCCTTACCCGTTTGAACTCTGACCTTCCTTTCTCGTGAGCGAGGTGACTGCCCTGGAGACTTAGCTCCTCTGTTTATCCACAGAACAGACACAGCACGGGCAGCGGCAGTGCCAGCCACCCCCAGCCACCCCGTGCCACTGTGTCCCAACCCTGACCTGGAGGGACCAGCTCTCGGGGTAAGAGAGGGCTTCTGGCTTGTTCACCGCTCAGCCTCCCTGCTGAGAGGGCCAGCAAGGGGGTGGCCCGGGCAGCGGAGGCCGCCGTGTGCCGCAGCTGGTCACTGCGGAGGCCCTGTCGTCCCGCAGGTCTTTGTCAGGCTCCGAGGGGAGGGCTGCCGACCCGACGTAGGACTGCAAGGTTTTTCTCTTCCAAATGAGGGGCCCTGGCTCTTGTATCACCCCTCCTGCGTCGTAACAAACCTCGCCCTTTCTGCTCCTAGCAGTAGACTCTAACCAGACCCCACGCTAGCCGTTCAGTCCGCACTGTGGACAAGAAAGGTCACTTAAAAGCCAGCGAGAGCGGCTCAGGAGGAGGAGCTGGCTCTGGCGGCCCCGCCCCGCCCCGCCGTGGCCGGAGGGCTGGCTCGTCAGGCAGGTGCCGGCGGAGCGCGGTAGCTAGCGTGTAGTTTTCCTGTCAGACACGGGCAGCGTGTGAGGCTCTCGTCAGGCCTGGGTTTGCGTGTCTCCATTCTGAATGGACACGCCTGGGGTGCGTAGGTGTGAGACACAGATCTCCACTTGCAATGAGTCGAGCGTGGGCGTGGCGGCCCCCGGCACTGAGGCGGCGTCTCCTGCCCGCAGGATCCTGAAGCAGGAGCACCCTGAGCTGGCGGTGCTGGCCGACTCGGTTGACCTCCAGGAGTCCACGGGCATGGCCTCCGACTCCTCCAGCGACTCATCCAGCTCGTCCAGCTCCAGCTCCTCGGAGTCGGACTCGGAGGTGAGGGCCGGGCGCGTGTTTTCACTTTGCTCCAAGCACTGTGGGTGCTGCCACTCCCGAGTGGCGGACTTCATCCGGGTTACAGCTCTGTGTGCGCGTGGAGCGCTAAAATGAGCGTAGCGGGTCTCAGGGGTGCTGGGGGACTTAGTGAAGATCACACCACTGTGTCAAGATTCACGCTTGGATGGGTGTGGCCTCAGCCCAGGTGAGGTTAGAGGGCCCCGCCCTGAGCGGATGCCTTCCCTGGGCCTTACCACCTGCCATCCGCCTGTTCTCACTGCGCAGACGGGAAGAGTTAGATGCTGTTGCACACCGAGCTCCGTGCTGGTTGTGAGCTCCCATGGTGCGCTGTAGAGCATCCTTGGGCCCTGATTTCAGACACTTCCGGGGAGCACAGCGGCTCCACCTGGCGCCGAGCGGAGTCTGCGCAGTTAGCGAGGCGGGGCTCTCCCGAGTGGTCTGGCAGGCAGCCAGAGGTGAGCTGCAGCCGGCTGAGTCCTGTGCTTGTCCCCCGTGTCCAGTGTGAGTCGGGGTCTGAAGGCGACGGCATGATGCATCGCAGGAAGAAGAGGAGGACGTGCGGCCCGGTGGGCAACGGGGACACCACCTCCCAGGACGACTGCGTGAGCAAGGAGCGCAGCTCCTCCAGGTGAGCGCGCACGGCACCGCACGGCACCGCACGGCCGGCTGCAGGGCGCGCGCACGGCAGGCGGGAGCCGGAGCACAGGGCTCCCGGAGGACAATGCGGACACTCACGGCGTCTGCTGCAGGCCTCTCTCTGCTGCCGACGAAGTAACGTGGCTCGTTTTACGCATAAAACAAGACCATGAATGGTGCCAAGGAAACTCTTTATACTATTTAATAAAAGACGAGTGATTTTAGCTCTCTGGACACTTGGTTCCCGTGCGCACCTCCCCTCAGTGCTCTTCTGGTTGTCCTGGCCGTGTCCTGCCGGGGAAGCTGCCGCTGCTCCCAGCTGCCCGGCACTGCTTCGGGGGCTCAGGCCGAGCTGAGCCCCAGCAGAGAGCCCAGGTGTTTCACAGAATGTCGGTGACGTGTCCAAGTCTGGTTTCTGAAATCAGATTGGATTGAAATAAGTCCAAAGTCAGACCTCAGGAGGAGAACCTGTTTACTGCATCGGTCTGCCTGCTGGGCGTGTGGCAGGCCCGGAGGAAGCGAGGCCACGTCCGCTGTGTCCAGGCTCCTCGCGCCCGTGTGCTAGCTGACGTGACGAGAGGGGAGGGCTGGGACGGGAGGGAGCCCTGAGGTCCTCTCCTGCCACAGGCGACCCACTGGCCCTGCGCACCTGCTGCTGCTGCTCTCTCGTCCCTGTGTCTCCCTCTGAGTACACAGGAGAATTTTTCAGGCTGGAACGGCCACGTGGCCACAGCCACACTTAGATTTCCCTTCTCAGGTTACTGCTGTCATTGTCAGATCTGTGTGACCCTGCACTTGCCGTGTGGCTTTGTAGGCCCCAGAAAAAGCTCCGCGTGGCCTGAGCGTGGGCCCCGGGTGCTGTGGCAGCGCTGCGGCCGCTGTGCGCGTAACAGGGAGCTGTGCTTTCCTTGGCAGGATTAGGGACACCTGTGGAGGCCGGGCGCACCCCTGAGCGCAGACTCCCCCCGAGGTGGCTGTTGGCGGCCTCCCAGCTGGGTTCTCGCCTCTTCCGCTCCCACCTTCTCCTTTGCCTCCTGGACTCTGGATCTCCCCTTCTGGTCCTCGCTCCTGTCTTCGGTCAGTGCTGTGTTAACTGAGAGTAGAGTTCAAGAAGCTGAAAGCCCGGCCAGCTCCGTGAAGCCTGCGGCGAACAAGACGTTGGCTAAGAAGGTTCTGTGCGCGCTCGTTCTGAGCTGAGCCAGAGCAGAGGGCTCCGTGTCTCACTGTGTCTCACTGTGTCTGTCAGCTCACTGCTGTTGCTAGGGAGCGGCGCCGGCTGTGCACAAGCAGACGCATCGAGCGGTGAGTGGCTGACCTGCGAGGGAACCAGTCGTGTGTGAGGAGGGCCGTGAGCGCGTGCCGCCTTCCTGGATGTCGCCCGGCGTCCGCAGACGGGGCAGTGCCTGGCCGCGTGCCCAGCGCCAGGGCCCGGTGCTCGGCCCCGTCTCGCTCTCCCTCGTCTTTGCCCCGCGTCAGCCGCTGTGGCGCTGCAGGGATGCTGTGTGGTGGTTTGGGAGGGCAGGGGAGACGCTGGAGAGGTATTCCGCGAGTTCCACCACAGAACAGCCAGGTTCTCTCCCAGCACGCGCCCGTAAGGAAGGGGACCCCACGACTGGGCCCGTTTCTCCCTGCGGACGTTAGTGAGTGGCCAGCAGGACGCAGAGGCTGCCGCCAGGCCCTGGAGCCATCTCCGCAGGTCACTGGTGTGGACACTGGGGGCTGTCCAGCTCTTGCCCTCCCGAGTCACCCGCTTGCCTTAATCTGTCCGTAGATTCCGCTGAATTTAAGTGAAAATAAGGGGTCATCCAGGTCACACCCTGTCACGTGCAGTCTGGGTTGGAGTGGAAGGAACGGCTCACGGTGGCCAGCAGCCAGTGGCCAGAGGGGGGCGGGGACGTCGTGCTCTGTTGCCTCTCAGCACCACCTACAAACAGGTGTGACCAAGGGAGCTCGCACCTCTGGCGGGTGGGTCATCGCAGACTGGTCATCGTCCCTGACCCTGGGGCGTGTGCTCTGCTCCGGGAGACTGGTCCTGTTAGTTCGGTTTCCCGCACCTGCTGCTGGCCGAGTGTCTGCTCCCTGCCTGTCTCACCTGCTGATCGCTGCCTTTGAAGCAGGCCGGGCAGCGGCTCCCTCTGGCCCCTGGTGGCCCGGGTGTGCCTGGGTTGAATTAAGTCAAGCTCTGAATGTGGACTGTCTCGGTACTGATACCCGAATGGTGTTCCTCCTCTGCTTTTCACAAGCCTTTTCTTGCCGTCCTTAAAAAGCTTTTTTTCTTTTCCCCAGCATTTGACCCTTTTCCCCTCAATTCCGAACCAGTCAGCTTTTCTGTAATATATTTAAGTTTGAAATAAAAAGCGAAGGCTCTTTGCCACCAGGGGGCGCCGTGGGCCAAGTTGCCAAGGGGCAGAACTTGGACTAGAAAGATGGGCGGCCCAGTCCTGCTGCTCCAGCGCTCTGGGCTCCTGTCTGATGAGTGGTTTCCAGGGGGCCTGGCCTCTGTGACTGCTCCGTCTCCCGGAAGCGTCCATGCAGCTGCTTGGCTGTGCCGCCCCCTCAGTAACCGTGGATCGTGTTTTATTCGTTGTAGGCAGGCCAGGGATTCCACAGCCCCCACCTGGCGGTGGGGGTGTGTGTGTGCGGGCAGCCAAGCAGGCGGCAGAAGGAGCAGGTGGGAAAACCAACAGAAAAACACTGGAGCAGTGACCAGGTACCGGCACCGGGCAGGAAGTAGTGTGACCAAAGTGTCCACCTGTTCAGTTAGCGCCCGTTCCCACCTGGCACGAACCACCCCCTTGGGTAGCGTCACAGTAGGAAAGTGAGGCGTGCACAAGTGACAGCCGAGCCTGCAACTGAAGAGCTGGGTCCCAGAACAGACCTGGGGCTGGTGACCACTGCTGAGGAGGAGCGGGGTGGGCCAGACTGAGTGCGGGACCCGGGTCCCCAGCACTGTGGGAGTGAGGTTTCCCCATCAGCCCCAAGAATCCAGAGCCGCACGCAGCTGCCCCAGGGTCGTTACTGGTGCTGGGACGTTTAAGGGAGAGCCGCTGAAAACGGGCGTTACCACACATGGCTCTGTTCCTGCAGCTGCCTGCTTAGTCATTGAAGCATGGACAAGTGTCGTAGCAGGCGCTGCCCTCGGTTCCATTTGTTGCACTGAGAGCCCCGATCCCTGGCCTGGAGTTGAATGGTCGTTGAACGTGCTGTGGTTCACAGGGCCAGCCGGCGTGAGTCAGCCTTATCTTATTGATGAGCCCACGGCTTGGCCGAGGTGGCCGACGTGCCGTAGGAGCAGCTGGTGCACGTGTGGTGCAAACCCACGGGGGCTCCTCAGCCTGGGTAGGGACAGACGGGGCGTGGCAGTGAGCGCAAGGGTGCCGTCTAGGAGTAGGCCTGTAGGAAGGCGGCCGTGGGTTCTAGTGTGTGTAGCATTTCGGCAAGTACGGTGTTCTGGTGTGTGTGCTGATGTTGGTGGGGTCGAGGTAGAATCTGGTGTCTCCCTGCACACTGCCTCCCCCGCCCCCCCCCCCCAGCTTTTGTCAAAAGTGTTACATTGATGTGATGTTGTGAGCTCGGCCCCCCTGCCGGCGGCTCACCGGGTGTCATTGTTTGGGAGAACTGGAATCCTGGCGCCCAGTGCCGGTCTCTGCTGGGACGTAGCCCTGGCCGCCGTGCCCACGGTGACAGGCTGCAGAAGAGCTGGGCTGTCCTGAGCACCCATGCCTCTGCCTCCCATCACTGTGGGCTTCGCCGCCCGTGGGTCTGCCCTGGGCTTGGTATTTTTAACGTGGATGAAACTTATTCATCATTTTAAATAAAGCAACTTGATTTGGAGTCGTGTTTTTTGCTTTGTTTGTCCCTTTCATTCTTACTCGTTGAAGAGTTGACAGCACATAGCGCGTTAGCAGTCCAGGACCTTTTGAAAACTGACCTTCAAACGGTGGGGACAGCGCAGGCCTGAGCACCTCGGCTGCCCCGAAGCCTGGGGGTGAGCCCACGGGAAAGGGAACGGAGCCGCTCGCTCTCCAGAGGGCAGCTGGCGGTCATCCACGGACTGCCGGGGAGCCGAGCCAGGCTGGGGTCTAACCTGGAGAATCGCGTCCAGGTCAGCGATGGTCTTGGACGCCAGAACTTTCCAGAACAGTACCAGGCGCTTCCTAAGTAAAACCTGGAGCCCTGCTTTTTGATTTGTTTCTTAAGCGCGAGACCTGGCGCTGGTGGGGCGGGACGTGGCGTGGGGGGGCACACTGAGCTCGCAAACTGGACCCAACCAGGAGGGGAGACTGGCTGGCCGGGAAGGCTGCCGGCTGTTTGCCTGGGGGTTCCGAGCTGCTCCTGGGGACAGCGCTGTCGCTGGCTAGAAAATGGCAGCGGGGAAGGCCTGGGCTTCAGGACCGGTTTCGTGGTCCTGCAGGGCAGTGGCCGCTGTGCCTCCACAGTACGTCCATGCCCGCTGAGCTGATGCCAGCCGAAGCCCAGGCCCGGGCTAGTTCCCAAGGGGTCCCCAGCCTCCGAATTCCCCCAACCCCAGGGCCAAGGGGGCGAGGCCGGAGCGGAGGCTCCGCCCCGGGGCGGGGCGCGGCAGCGGCCTCCCGCGGGGTCCTGGCGGGCGGGCACTCGGCGGCCGCGGCGCGATGGAGGCGCCGGCCGAGCTGCTGGCGGCGCTGCCCGCGCTGGCCACCGCGCTGGCGCTGCTGCTCGCCTGGCTGCTGGTGCGGCGCGGAGGGGCGGCGGCGAGCCCGGACCCCGCGCCCCCGGCCCAGCCCAGCGCAGCCCCTTCCGAAGCCCCGCCCGGGCCCTGCGCCCCAGAGCCGGCGGCCGCGCCCGCGGGGCCGGAGGAGCCCGTGGAGCCCGCGGCGGCGCCGGCCCAGGCGGAGGAGCAGGCGGCCGAGGCGAGGCAGGTACGCACCGGGCCCTTCCGCGGCGCCCCCATCCCCAAGGGGCCAGACGCCGGATCCCAGCGTCCAGGCCGGGTCGTCCCAGGGAAGGGGGGGCTGGGGGGAGCAGGGCGCGCGGGCGGTAGGAAGCGCAGGTCCCGCAGTGTCGCCGGCCAGTTTGCTGGGCTTTTCCCTTCTTTGCCTGGCCCGGAGCCCGCCCTGCCCGGCCTGGCGTCAGGGGTTGGAGATCTGGCTCCACACCCACCCGGGCCCACCTTCGCGCATCCGCGTGCCGTGGACCGGGCGGGTAGCAGGGGGAGAGCTGTTCCGGCAGTTTGAGATCCAGATTCCAGAGTTGGTGCCGGCTTCTGTGAGGCCCAAAGGATGGGTCGCTTCTGTCATTGTCTGGGCCTTAACGGGCTGCGGGGGTGGGGGGTGCGGGTTAGCCTCACCTGCTCCCAGGAACAAAGTCCTCTTGCCGCCCAGCTGGGCACCCCCGTGCCGGTCCCCCAGGCCCCTGCCCCAGGCCGTCAGCTTGGCCCTGACCTCACTGCCTTATCTCCGGACATCCGCCGGGCTCTCTTCCTGCTGGCCGGTGCACCGTCTGATGGGCCTGTCTGGGTTGGCTCCTGGGCTCCCTTTTCAGGTGAGGGGGGTGGGAGCCGGGAGACCACTGCTGGCCTGCAGGTGCCCCCTCTGCCCTCGGTGGACACAGTGGTTTGCACTGGAGGACGCCATGGGGGAGGGGCGGAATCCGGGCCCAGAGGCCTCTCTCTGCTGGGTGTGCCAGAGCCCTAGGGCAGGGGCTGGAGCTTTGACAAGTGGGTGATGAATTGCATGGTGGGAGAGGATTCTGATCAGCCGTGAGTGTGGCTGTGCCTCCCGAGCTTGGGGAGGACACGACAGACGAGCTGATGATGCCCTGGGCTCGTGCCCGTGCTTGGGGTTCCTGTCTCTGGGACCGGGAGGCATCGGCACGCCCAGCCTCTCGTTTACACACTGGCCTTGTGTCACTTGGCGGCCACGCTCAGAAACGTCAAATCCCTAGGGGAAGAACTTTGCGCACGCCCTGGCGTCCGTGGTGCCGCTTCTGTGGGGGCCCGTGTGCCGTTTGGAGAAGGCTCAGGAGTTCACGGCCCAGGCCGGCCCGCCAAGGCTGTGGCTCGTCCCTGCACACCACCCCGTCCTGAGAGCGCCCCTCGGGAGAACCCTGTCCGTCAGTCCTGCACTGGGGCGCTTGTCCCTCCTCTTAGGGCTGGCAAGCCCCCTGCCCACCCCCACAACTCCCGTGGGCGCACTCGACTGCAGAAGCCCTGCGTGGGGGCTTGGGGAATACAGATGGCATCACGCCCTCCCTGCCCTTCCCGGGGGTGACTTAACCAGAGAAGGAGCTGCCGAAGCATTCTCTCGAAATAGACCTGGGCATCTTCAAGAGCTTCCGGTACTTCCTTCCGCCGACGACCACGGTGTGGAGGGTTACAGGAAGAAGGCACCCTGGGGAGAGTAACTCAAGCGAGCCTTGGGAAGCCTGGGTGACGCCCCAGCCAGCCCCCTTCGCGCAGGGAGAGAGGCGGGAGAGAGGAGGCGGGCGACCCGCCTGCTCTCGGCCGCTGGAGTCAGGGCCTGGAGCGGTAGCTCATCTCCCTCCCTCCCTGTGTTCCATTAAGGGCCCCTCTTCTCAGCCAGGCCAGGCGTCTGGGGCAGCTGCTGCCTGTGACTCACAGGCCCGTGGCTGAGAGGATCAGGAGCCCGGGCAGGCACCCTCCAGCCGCCGCTGTGGAGCGTGGGGGAAGAGGCCCACCCCGCTGGGCCCCTGCGTGGCCAAGGACAAGGTGGCAGGCGGGGGCGGGGGGGGGAGGCCCTGGGCTGGGGATGAGGTCCACCAGCCTGAGGCTGCGGAGCGAGGGCTCCTCCCCTGTCCAGGGCAGCGCTGGCCGAGTCAGAGGAGGGGGCAGGGACATTACATCACCAGAGCCTCTTTCCACGGCCCCCACGGTGATGGGTGGGGGTCGGCTGTGGAGGAAGCACGCCAGGCACACCCCACCCATGGAGAATTGTCAGGGACAAGAGCTGGTCCCCTCCCGGAAGTACTTGTAGAGGATCACCAGGCCGACCCTGCATCGTAGGGGGCCCGGCCAGGGGTCCTAGCGGAGGGTCGAGGGTCACCAGCCGTGCTCTGTGCCAGAACTCGGCTGTCTTGGCGCTTAGATCCTAGCTCCTTCCAGACCAGGGAGGGAGCCTCACAGGGCAGCTGGCCAACATCCCAGACACACAGGGCACGGGCACGGGCACGGGCACCACGTGACACTTGAAGCCAGCCTTGGTCCTCGGCTGAATTCTCGATTGTATTTTTTTTAAAAGGTTGATTTATTTATGTATTTGAAAGGCAGATGGACAGAGGGAGAGAGATTTTTCCAACCTCTGGTTCACTCCTCTAATGGCCCCAACAGCTGGGGCTGGGCCAGGCCCAACCCAGGAGCCAGGAACTCCATTCAGGTCTCCCATGGGAGTGGCAGGGTCCCAAGTGCTTTGGCCCTCATCCGCTGCTTTTCCAGACGTCATAATGGGGAGCTGGATTGGAAGCGGAGCAGCCAGGACTCAAACCAGCACTCCCCTGTAGGATGCCAGTGTCCCGAGGGGCAGCTTAATTAACCTGCCGCCACAGTGCTACCCCTGCCCCATGGTTGGACTTCGGACCGTGGGTGGGGGTGCAGAGCCGTAAGGTCATTTTGGAGGTAATGGGGATATGTTTTAAAGGAATAGTGTCTTGGACGGTTTTATTGGATCAACACGGGATTTTGGGGGCATGATCCTGGCACCGTGGTTATGTAAGAAACCGTCCTTATCCTCTAGAGGGAGCATCCTGGAACGTGTTGGGGTGGCGTGCTGTGGGCCCAGCAGACGCACATGCGCAGACCGTGTGTGTGCGTGGACAGAAGACAAAGGTGGCAGGGGGTTCACCGTTGGTTTAGCCAGGTGAAGGGAGTACACGTGTTACTGTATTGTTCTTCCCAGCTTTCTGGAGCTTTGAGATTTTTGAAAATTATTATTTATGTTATTTGAAAGGCAGAGTTACTAAGGGGGAGAGATACAGAGACAAAAGAGATCCTCCATCCCCTGGTTCACTCCCAAATGGCTGCAATGGCCGGGGCTGAGCCAGGTCGGAGCCAGGAGCCTGAACTTCTCCCAGGTCTCCTGCACGGGTGCAGGGCCCAAGCGCTTGTTCCATCTTCCTCTGCTTTCCCAGGCAAACAGGGAACTGGATAGGAAGTGGAACAGCTTCTCGAACCGGGACCCATCTGGGGTGCCGGCTCTACCCGCTATGCCAAGGCTGGCCCAGGGATTTTCTCAAAATCCAGTGGGGGGGGGGGGCAGCGCTGTGGCGTAGCAGATAAAGCCGCTGTCTGCGGTGCTGGCATCCCATATGGTTCGAGTCCCAGCTGCTCCACTTCCAATCCAGCTCTCTGCTGTGGCCTGGGAAACAGTGGAAGATGGCCCGAGTCCGTGGGCCCCTGCACCTGCATGGAGACCTGGAAGAAGCTCCTGGCTGCAGATTGGTGCAGCTTCGGCTGTTGCAACCAACTGGGGAGTGAACCAGCGGATGGAAGACCTCTCTCTCTCTCTCTCTCTCTCTCTTTCTTTCTCTGCCTTTTCTCTCTCTCTGTAACTCTGACTTTCAAATAAATAAATAAATCTTAAAAACAAAACAAAACAAAACACAGTGCTGGAGACAAGAAACCTTGAAGGGGACTTCCCAGTGGGGCTTGGTTTTTCAGGCCGACTGGGCTGCTCAGCCTCCGTCTGTGCTCAGTGGGCAGCTCGGCCCTGGGCACCCCTGCAGCTTCCTGCTGTGCCATCCACCCCCGAGCCCCCTCCCTGCCCTGCCCTGTGGACACAGGTGTGCTCCTGGAAGTGGCAGAGATCCTGGCCGCCCAAGCCGTCGGGCAGTGAGCCCCT